CATGAGATGTAAGTCGATACTTTTGATGTAATAATTCAGACTAGGCAATGGTTGAGTATGCGCGTTAGAGACTTGCTTAGCGCTTATAACTACGAAGATTATTTATCAGTAAACGTTAATAAGCTATTGGAGCCATAGTAACAGACTGAGAGCAACACAAAGATATAATCTGTGTTATGTATTAATCATAAGCGAAACATATAGTGTATAATGAAAGCTTGTATTTACTTCCTACTCGAAAATTTAACAAAGGCATATCGAATCAAAACCTCAACTTTGAATTAAAAATTAACGGACGTTTTTTCGTTATGTTCTATCATTATCTAACATATCTTCTCTTAGATTTAGATGTGCACATTGTACGTTAACTAGGCTGGGCGTAGATTAAGCGACCATTTATTTCTTTACTCGAGTTTCTTCTTACTCTCTAACCATAACATCTTAATTAGTCGAATCGAAGATGTTTTTTCCGAGGGCATGGATTTGATGCTGTGTTTATAGCGGGAGGCAATCATTTCATCGACAATAATTTCACCGACAAATATTCACCAACATTATTTCGAAGTTATCCTTTTTTGGTAGTTAATTGTCGATGAAATAATACGGACCCGTTTATAGCGTATCAAGTTTGGTGCTTATTCATAACTGACAGAATAGCCAGCTACCGAATTAATGATGGGAGACAATCTTATTAGATAGCGGAGAATTCAAATTCGTGTCAGCGGGAGAATTTCAGCGTAAATACGTTTGAAATAATACGTTTACTTGCAGAACATGACTAACAGATAACAATTGCTTTCCATTAATCTGTTGATTTACTGCCTATAGCTTTGCGCGTTTGTAAAACCAGATGGAGGGTTTCCTCCTATACAACATACTCTCGTGCAAAATATTTTATAAATTTGCTAGACTAGAAAATCGTCCATCATTGAATTACTGGTTTTTCCGAAAATGCTCTTTGTCAGGAAAACAGTGTGATCCCCAATTATATACAACAAAATGCGTTTGCTTGCGCGGTTCTTACATTAATACTAGTTTACATTTATTTACAACAGACTTTTATTGTCTCTTTCCGTTTTCGTAAACATGGTTAACACAAAGACTTGAAGCCTAGCGTCAAACTATTTCTCATTATTGGCCAATGGCATTGTTTTGGCAAAACGGGCACCATAGAATGTTACACAAACGCTTCTTCTCTTACACCTTGTTGTATTAGCGAAAACACGCATATGTCTATCTGGAGGCATATGAAAATAGAGACATCATAGTTCTGTTACTTTTGCAATTTTAATATCGTATGGAGGCAACGAAAACGTGGGCGCAGCTCACTTAAAGAAGAATTGGAATAAACCCATATTTTACAGATGAGACGACTTTCAATCTTTTAGGAACAAGATGTCTAGATGGCATGAAGACAAAAATATGCCCATCAGACGTCTACCAAAAGATTATGGCATGGGGGAGAATTTTTTTAAAAGGTAAAGCACCTTTGTTTGGCTTTACAGACATTATGGATAGCCAAAATACAATTCAAGTCATGGACCGGCCATCCAATAGTCCTGACTTAAAATGTGTGGCAAATAATGTAGAGAAACGTATATTACAAGATATTTGGTGAATTAAAACAATATATGATTGAAGAATGTGATATTAAACAGAAAAGAAAATAATAGAGATCGAATTTCATAGTAAACATTTATTTGGTTAATAAAACTGTATAATAAGTTTTAAGTCTGCAAATTTTGTTCTGTGCTTCGAGCGCCATTCTTTTCGTTGCCCACTGTACGGTAAATACAGTATATTAACATAAATATCTTTATTTTTATATCGCAACGGGCTGAGGAAAAATTATCAAAATTTATGAGAAAGTTTGTATATTATATATTACAAATCATATGACAATACAGAATAATAATGATCTGGTTTTCCTTCAGAAAACGTTCGTAATAATTTTGGGGTTTCTGTGTAAACAGTAACAAAACATGTAATAAAACTCTCTTTCAAACATAGCATTATTGTAGTAAAATCCTTGCAAAGTACTCTCTTTGTACGCGCGTATTTGATGTTTTCGCGCAAATATTCTTTTGTGCCACCTTCATCAGATCACAGGCCAAAAGATTTTCCTCGTCTTCAACCGCATACCCTACTTTGACAAAACGCACAATGCAGGCGCCAGTGATTGTAATGAGTAAGTCATATATATTGCTGGCCTTTACGTGTTATGCTTGCCTCTTCTTGTCGAGTGTCTCAGCTTACGTATCTTTTACTATTTACTCTTACTCAACCCGTTAGATACAAATATCGACCGGGAAACCGGTCGCAAAGCCCAAATGTCCAACATCACAGCGGCAAAAACTGTTGCCGATATCATCCGCACTTGTCTCGGCCCTCGGTCAATGCTAAAAATGTTACTTGATCCAATGGGTGGTGTGGTTTTGACAAATGACGGTAATGCGATATTGAGAGAGGTTGAAGTGGCACATCCTGCCGCAAAAAGTATGATCGAGTTGAGCAGAACGCAAGACGAAGAGGTTGGCGACGGGACAACTAGTGTTATTATTATAGGTGAGTATGGAGAATATAGAGTCATTTTTTTGGTATATATCAAGGTATGCGTTTGAATTTCTGGATCAGGCAATCGATCTGTCTTACCAAAATCCGAAATTAAAATGTTGTCTTCGACTTTGAACCATTAATTCTCGACTTTTGCATCGCTTACTTTGCTTTTTTTACTCTGACAGCCGGTGAGGTGTTGGCAGAGGCTCTACCCTATCTTGAACGTAACATACATCCAATTGTCATCATCTCGGCTTTTAAGAAAGCACTTGAAGATGCTGTCACCACGATCACAGAAATCTCAAAACCGGTGGATACAAATGACGAAAATGAAATGATGAAACTCGTTAAGAGCTCTATTGCTACGAAATTTGTAAGCAGATGGAGTGATTTAATGTGTACGCTAGCCTTACTGGCTGTGAGAACTGTTGTAAAAGAAGAAGATGGAAAAAGAGAAGTAGATATTAAACGTTACGCAAGAGTTGAGAAGGTTTGTTTTTCACATCATCATAGTTGGTATATCCACTTGTGTTTGTATGAGTAATTTGTGTTGTCTTTCTTGACAGGTTCCAGGTGGGGAAATCGAAGAATCTAAAGTTCTAGACGGCATAATGCTAAACAAAGATGTGACACATCCGCATATGCGTCGACGTATTGAAAATCCGCGAATTGTCCTCCTCGACTGTCCTCTCGAGTACAAAAAAGGAGAGTCACAGACTAATGCAGAAATTACTGATGAAAACCATTGGAATCGCCTATTACAGATCGAGGAAGAACAGATTAAAGAAATGTGTGAAAAGATTATTGCTGTAAAACCTGATTTGGTACTCACTGAGAAAGGTGTTTCTGGTGAGTGGTTGGAATTCATTAAGAGAACACAACGAGTTTTTTTTGCGAGCAGTAATATGATTGTTGGCAGAATGTATCGATTGTGTTTCTGCTAGCGATGTTTGGAGCACTTATTAATAGTCATGCTGGTACCATCAGACCTCGCGCAGCACTACCTCATGAAGGCAAATATTTCTGCCATACGCCGCGTCAGAAAGACGGATAACAATCGCATTGCCCGCGCGGTTGGAGCAACAATCGTCAACCGCGTAGACGACCTGAAAGAAAACGATGTCGGAACGGAATGTGGCTTATTCCTTATCGACAAAATTGGCGACGAGTAAGAATTTTCGCCACGCGTAAACTTTATCCGGAATGTCTTAAAAAAAAAAAAAACTCATTCCACTTTTGTATTTCAGATACTTCACTTTCCTAACAAAATGTAAAAACCCCAAAGCCTGCACAATCCTCTTACGGGGTCCGTCAAAGGACATTCTCAATGAAATCGAACGCAATCTCCAAGATGCAATGTGTGTTGCTCGCAATGTCTTCTTTGCTCCTTTGTTATCGCCAGGGGGTGGTGCAACTGAAATGGCGGTTAGCGTAAAGTTGGCAGAGAAGGCAAAGTCGTTAGAGGGTGTTGAGCAATGGCCTTATAAAGCAGTTGCAGACGCGATGGAGGTTATACCACGGACGTTAGTACAGAATTGTGGTGGGAATGCGATCAAGGTTTTGACCCAGCTGAGGGTAAGTGAACGTGGGAAGAGTATATAGTGTCGAATTACAAAATAAGATATAATGCAATGAAAAATGTAAATTTACTGTTTTTAGGCCAAACATGCTACTGGGAACCATACATGGGGAATTGACGGTCTGACAGGCGAGGTGGTTGATATGAATGAATATGGTGTATGGGAGCCGCACGCGGTCAAAGTACAAACCATCAAGACTGCAATCGAGGTGATTATAATATTGACTTGGTTATCTTTCCTCTTTGCGTGAATTAACTCGTATATGTCTTTCGCATAGTCTGCCTGTCTGCTTCTGAGGGTAGACGATATTGTTTCTGGAATTTCCAAAAAGAAGTCTGGTGGGGCACCAACATCTGCACCGCCCGATGCCGAGGGTGGGGAGGTTGAGGGTGAGCGATAGGTTTACAAGAAAGCATGTCACTAATAATAAAGTCCATTAGTTCAAATACACGTGATTGAATAATAAAACATGTAATGGGGCTTTGGGAGTCTGGCTTTATAAAAAATTGCCTTGCAGAGGACGTTAAGATATGCTTTTGGTTAGAGAGTGATCATCACTAAATTTATTCCTTGAATAAAGTCAGGCAAAGAATACAAAATTCTGAATCGAGAATAAATAAAGACAACGGGCAAAGAAGAGGGAGAAAAGAAATGATTCCGTTTTCACTCTCTTACACACTTCCGCTCACCTCTATTCTTATTAATAATAATTAGATGAATTAATTTGGTTGTAATAAAAGAAAAGTTTGTAATCTCTTACAAAGAATATTATTATTTTCAATTAATTGATGGAAACAAGAAACAAATAAGAGTTTTATATATGCATCTGAATCTCTCCGTCGCCACCACCATTCTTGTCATTACTTAAACTTTGACGCTCAAGTCATAAAGAGGTAGGCTTATAGGTGACAGATCAGGTGTTAGCAAGACACCAGCAAAGCAGTACCAAACGACCATTGAGGTAATAATGCCGATTATACCGGCAATATTAATGAATATTTGGACCATAGTGAAATGATAGATGGTCTCAAATACAAACACGATTGTGAGAAGAACAAAGGCGGTGAGAACGGCACCACTTGTTCGGATGCAAGCCAAGGTGAAAATGAATGTAACTAGATACGCGCAGATAATTGATTATATGTTAGTGACAAGTTATTCGTGTCTCAAAAAAGAAATTACGCAAACTTGGGAGAACAGTACTTACAGACAGTCCAAGCTATACAATATACAGCCAAAGCATTGTGATATTGTGTCTCTTGGAAAACTCCATTAGCATCAACAAATGCTTGGTTGACGTTCTTAATGGGATACAAGATGGGTGCCGTTTAAGTGAATTTTGTCAAGCATCGGAAATATTTAAAGACATAGCGCGATAATACTTACGAAAGAGGGAATAAATATGACACCGTACGAGGCCCAGAACCCACCAAAGGCACCAAAGCCTGTTGCGCCAAAAGTGTTTCCTACTCTCATTTCCCACATACCAGCTGCAAACTAATTGTATACATAATTATTAGTTGTCATATGTTCCACGCCAATCATGGGAATTGAACTTTATCATTCATTCTTGTTTTACATTACCTGAACAATGCCACCGGTAAACAAACAGACTCCAACAGCAACATTTGGAATATCGATTCCAAATGCGCGACAGTTATAGAAGGAGATTACCATTACGGACAAGGCGAAAGCAGATAATCCCAGCGGTGTGGGATTAGCAAGCTTTGGAGCTGGTGGGTGATGATAGTACCTCTTGTATGAGGTTGATGGTCTGAGGTCGCTTGTGGTTGCCCTGAGTTCGCCTAGTCGGTCATTTTTCTCACGTTTTTCCGTTGGCTTGAACTCTTGCACGTAAATGTTTGACGACTTTTCTCCCGGCATTCTGAATGAATGTTTATTCTATCAATTTCAGTAATTATTAAATGAGTTGATGTTTATAGATAGCTAGTTAGAAGTTGGCTTCTATAGCTAGGTTTTTGATGCGGGAGAGTGTAAAGAGATAAGTATTCGAGGTGAGAGAAGGCAGGGTTATATATGGATTATGTGACATAGTATAGAAGAGTATTGCTACAAGATTATTTCTGTTTTTGGTTCATTTCCCCACGAACATTGTCAAACACGTGTTTATGTTGCAACAATGCTACGTATACATCGGAGAATTTTCTAAATATTAACTTTGTGTTACTTTTTTATGTAGATCATATGCCAAAATACCTGCATTCATTCTGCACGATACACAGACCAATCTCTAACGGCAATCTAATCTTTTTAGTGGAAAATCATCTCGTGTATTCGTAAAACGTCTATAAAGGTAGGCCTTTCCTTCTCTGGCATACCCCATACACAATAAACCAAAAAAGGACAATCCCCACAACAAGCACGCCCATTCACGAGAATGTGAAGCAAGGTAAATGCGCGGAATAACGAATAGACAATAAGCAGCAACCCAAAGGCTGAATACTCTTTTTGTCAGTCCGAAAGGCTGGAAATGTTGATGATGCAGTTAGGTGATTGAAAAAGTCAACAGTCATATCGCTGTAAACACAGGTGTGGGCCGAATAAAAATTGCGTATGACGAAAATTTCCTAACGAAAAAAATTCCATAACATGTCTCCTTTCTCCTTGACGTAAAGAACCATTTTTTGCCATTTGCAATTCTTACCTACTCTATTTGAAGGATACAACCTGGACATTGTGCGACAAACACATATTCTGACTAAAAATATTATCGAGCCACCCTCTTTGCCATCAATTCTTAACTAAGTGACTACACCGAAGCATCCATTGTCAATCTTATTATGAAGCCCTTGTAGAGAATCGCGTTTGATATAATCGATACACGCAAAAGCGGAGAAGCCACTAAAATGGAGAAGCCACTAAAATGTTTATTACGGAACTTTGTTCGGTATTGGACGTCTGACGTACGCACCCTACCAAAAGTCTTCGGTAGGCCTTGAATCCAAATCTTTGTAATCTGTGACAGCAATGATTAGATATTGTTATAAAGCTAATTGATTGCGCCTGCCGAACAAAATAATGTTAAATTAAATATTATCAATACAAAGCTATATATCGTCAGTGTATATAAAAACACACATATTTATACGTGTGACATCTCTATCAAACTGCGGCTCTGGCGGTTAACCGTAGTTGGACAATAAAGTTTTATATCATGCAACTTTGTATCGACAATATACTTTAATCCATCATCAGCACGATACCGAATCATTACTATTTCGATTCAAGGCCTGCCGAAGACTTTCGGTAGGGAAGTGTAGTTCATAGAAGACTAACTATTATTGTTTATTTTTCTAGAATAAGAATTGCATTAGTCATGATTCATTACTTGAATCACAATAAATTTGTTATTGTGTAGGTCAATCATCTCAATGTGACATGATCTTTACAGCGGTTTATTATGTCACATGGTGACATTCTTTAACATGATTTTGCACGTTTAGCTTTATGCATTCGATTAAACAAGAGAACCGCTAGTATAAACGTGGATGCAAAGACAAACTTTCATACATCAGATTACTGTCTGTTCCTAAAGTTTACACACGTTTGTTGGGAAAATTATTCCTTGAAGACCATTATATTGACGGTTAACTCCAAGTCGATGCTAATGATTTTTCCTTTCCTTAATTCAGCTAAAGTTGACTATTCCAGATACGCTACATAAAGGCGCAACCGATCAAATATTACTACATAACTAAACACACATATAGTATGTGAGTTCATACATTAATAAATAACGCCTTTTGGTTCTAGATTCGCACGGCCGAGACGTTCTATTATAAGATACAGGTACATTGGAAAGTGCGCAATCTTTTTGATCAATTAGAATTATCAAAAAACCGCGCAGGATGAATGATTGGCGCGCACATTCCAACCGAATTGATCAACATGAAAAACATATGAAAATCAGTTCATTTCAGAGGCAGCAAGCATGCTAAATAGTAGAGCCGGAAATTCAATTTGTACTAAACTTTAAAAGGAGTTTGTGCGCTCAATGCTCGATAACTTTCTTAAAAGTTTATTTTACGTCTTCCCGAACCTTCTGATTATGAATGTATGTACGTGAATTGAGTATGGGAATAGTAAATAGAATGTCGCTAACACTAAGTTTACTAACAGATGTAATTGCGGTCCAGTGCTGAGGTCAGCAGCTCGCAGGGATACAGAGTATCAACGTATTGCATGTCAGTTCTAAATTAAAAATGAAAATCGCATTGAACATGGCTTATTAAGGAGTCGCAGAGTGTTTAACGTCTCGACTCTATTTATGCTTTTTACGTGACTGATCCAGCATACAATGCCACCTGATTAATTTGCATACTAATACCATCTTGTTCTGGAAAGACATTCAAGATAGTAATCAACACAACCCTATGTAATCCTCTCTCACAAGCTGTTAATCTATTGCATGATCCAACTTACCAGCATTCTTACCAGCATAACGTGAACACTGTTCTATTACTTTGTATATAAGTGGTCAGATATCACGTGCTGAAAGAACAAAAATTCCAACCTTTCAAGCTGCTCTTTCTACTATAATCATCATGAGCATAACACACTGTCCTTTACACTTCTACCTTTCTCTTTGCCATCCCCTCTTGCTCTCTCTTTGGATCTGTCTCGTGCATTTTTCTGATTCCTCTCAAAATGGAAACAAGTTCAGCTGAGATCGAGGCAACCATTCGCGATCTAGAATCGAATTTGAACGAATTAAAGGAACTCTTGCTCCTTGCTCCCGATGAGCAAGACCTGAAGCAATGTGTTCAAGATCTGGAAGAGCTTGTTGCCATGCATCACGAACACCTAATTGAGGCCACAAAACGAGAACTTGAGGCAGCAGATACGATTAAAGTAAACCAAAGCGGCTTGACAGAGGGTCTGGCATTAGTATCACAAGAAGACGGTGAGAATGAACAGGAGAATGATGGTTTTATAGGCGACACCTCTCCCAAAGCAGACGAAGAAGAAGCAGGGACGGGGGAAGAAGAGGACATGGGGGAAACCAAGGAGATTGATAGTTATGATGCTAACAAGGAAACCTCTGGTTCTCCTTGGGATGCATATTCTGTTATGGGCTCATCAGATACATTGAACGATCCTAATGTGAACTTTGCTGAATGGGAAAAGCATACGCGCGGCATTGGAAGCAGGCTATTGGCAAAGATGGGATATAAACAGGCACGGATCGTTTTCCATTTTTGAGAAGAGGATCGGAGAAAAACTGCAAAACTGCGGGAAGCATGCTTAATAATAACAAACATGACGGCTTTGTTTTCCCACTCATTTATACAACTTTGCTTATACAATAACAGGGTGAAGGTCTTGGCAAGTCTAAAGAGGGCATAATCAATCCGATCGAAGTTCGTCTCATCAAGCAAGGTGTCTCGCTAGACTATATCTCTACCAACGGCAAAAAGGTTAAACCGCCGAAACCTAAACCCGAACCTAAACCTGATGGCTTTTTCGATTTCCTCAACTCTTCTCTAAATACTACGAGTAATACCCGCGTATCATCGTCACCACTAGTATCCTCCTTATCGTCGTCATCGTCGTCGTCATCGACTAGACCTGCTTTTTCAAATGCATTGCATCAACCCAACGTGTCGTCAAGAAATGACAAGCATCAGAACAAGAATGTCGCTTTGTTTAATCTGGAACGTGAATTGGCTATAGTTGAAAAGGAATTGGTTAAAGCGCGTCAGTCGCTTACTCGGAACGAGGGCAAGGACCCGGCGATGGCCAGCAGGTTCAGAGCAAGAGTTAGGGCGTTAGAAGCTAATTGTGAAGAATTGCGGCGGAGAGAAAGAGAGCTTGGAGATGGATTAAAGAAGGAGAGGGGCAGGAAGCAGATGCTCAAATTTTAGTGTTTTGAAGGAGTATTAAGTTATGATAACTATATATACATATAGAATTTTGATATCAATATTTTACCTTAACAAAGTAAATGCAAGCTATTTTGTGTCAAACGTCTGATAGTAAGATGGGATTATGGGAGGGAAATCATACTGATCACGGGGGGGGAAAAGACTTGGGTCAAGAGACATTGGGTCAACCGCGTACAGGAAAAAGGAATACTTTCCTCTCGAGTAGATAACTTTTATAAGAGCATTGTAGTCAGTCAGTCAGTCATATCACATCATAGGGGATAATGTTTGCATGGTTTATTTAATGACCATTGGGTCAAGAGACATTGGGTCAACCGCGCAACTTGTCACGTACAGGAAAAAGGAATACTTTCCTCTCGAGTAGATAACTTTTATAAGAGCATTGTAGTCAGTCAGTCAGTCATATCACATCATAGGGGATAATGTTTGCATGGTTTATTTAATAACCATTGGGTCAAGAGACATTGGGTCAACCGCGCAACTTGTCACGTACAGGAAAAAGAATGCTTTCCTCTCGAGCATAGATAACTTTTACAAGAGCATCGTAGTCAGTCAGTCATATCACATCATGGGGGGGATAATGTTTGCATGGTTTATTGTTCAGCAGCGACTGTAAGAAAATTGCCTAATTACATTGGAACAAATAAAAGTCCCCTGAACAATCTCTGCAACTTTTTATTCACACACACACAAGCAACCCCTGTCTGTCTTGTCCTGTTTAAAACCTGAATGGTTCTTTGTTCCATCTTATTCATGGTTCAAAAAAGGTTAAGAGCTTTTGTAAAAATTTGGGCATCATACCAAAAATTATTTATAGTACGCGCACTATAATCAGAATGTTCGGCAAAGGCAAGCTGCGATGACGTTTAAATATGGCTGCAATAATTAACGATATATCTTGATTATTATTATTGTCTTTGTAACAAATAAAATTTTCGGGTAGAAGATCCAACATTTAGTGTTGTATGTAACATGTATTGGTTAATTGCAAGCTTTTTATTTTTGGTTCAACATTTAGATTTTATATACTCTTTTTCTTTTTTTTTTTCCTTTCTGATTTGCATTATTATCCCTTCTCTCTTCTTTTATCTTTACAGTTTGCGAATATTTTGAATGATGCGGATGCTTATTGACATGAATTAAATCTGTGTGACTGTGAATTAAATTAGAGTTGGGATGGTTTTTGACGATATATATAATTCAAACAATTTACACGATAATAGAGTAGATGACGATTAATCATCTTAAATAAACATTTCAGAGTATATGTAACATTAAAGGAACACTATCCCAGCATTCTCTTTTCTTTTTTTCTTTTTGCTGTTGTGTAAATCTCTTTTTTTTCTCTTCTTCTTCAGTTCCTCAATATTGCTGTAAACATAAAGCTATAGTATTTTGTATATAGGAAAATTTTTAAAAATTTTTATTCACAATTCCGTCACTCTTCGCTCTTCTGACTCTGCAAATAAGTTTCCATTTCTTTAGCGTATCTCGCCTTGTCTGCTGATGCTTTCTGTTCCCAAGGAGATTTCTCTTCAGGAGTCAACGCTCTCCATTTCTTAGCAATAATCTGACTAATAAACCCAACAGTCTTTCCTGGATTTTCCTGAGTAATCTCCGGTCTGACATCACTGGCGTAGAATAAGAACCCGGACATTGGATGTTTTGGCGCAGTAGGATGTCGTGCGCGCTTCTTCTTGCGACCACGAGGATCCTTGTGATGTGTACCGTCATCGTGGCGCTTACGCCGAGGGCGAGTGTCTTCCTCAGCGCTAGATTCCTCATTGTAGTTGCGTTTCTTGGTCGAACTAAGACCCGCGGCTGCTAATTCTGCTTTAGAACGGCGCGTATACACAAAGTCGGGGTTATTGGTGTGGAATTCATCTTTTATCTGACGGGCTAGTTGAAGATAGTTTTCGCGTTGATCCTATTATTTAAGAAAAATAGTGTTTTAGAAAATTTTGGTCGGTAATGTGAGATAAAATTTTAAAAGTTGTCAGATATTTACCCCTGGCATAGAACGCCAACTGTCGCCAATAGTTTTCGAAATCTCTGCTACAGTCATATTAGGATTTTTCTGTAAAACTTTTGGTCGCATCTCTTTGTTATATAGTAAGAATGCATTCATCGGTCGCTTCAATTTACGATCTCTCTTTGATGAACTGGGAGGGGCGGCGGCGGCGGCAGCGGCGGCAGCAGCGACAGCAATAGCTTGGGCCTTCTAACAATCAGACGAATAAGATTAACTTCACAATAAATACTCATACAAGCAAATACACACACATAATATAGCACGTCTTCGTGCCATATATCCTCACGACAGCGACACTCACCTTTGATTTTCCAACAGGAGCACCACGTCCTTTCCCACCAGGCGACTGTGTATACGAGGCAGATCTTCCAGAACTAACCGATGCACTTGACACACTACTAGAACTGGCACTCTTTCCACTACGTTTGTGCTTGTGAGTAGAGTTTGAACGACGAGAGTACTTGTATCCAGGATTATTGTTTGTAAATTCCTCCTTTAACAGTTTGGCTTTCTCAACATAACGATCCTTTTTTTCCGCTTCCATCCGCTTCCATTCATTGCCAAGCTTCTTGCTTAGATCTGCAGTAGTCAATCTAGGATCAGCCTTTTGCAACTGCGGTCGTCTCTCGCCAGAGAAAATCAGGAACGCGTTCATAGGCCGCTTTGTTCTTTGAGCGTCACCTCCCTTCACTGGCGCTACCGATGACGGTCCCTCTTTACTTGGTCCGGCTACATTCTTACTTATGCTACTTGATGCGCTCGGAGATGGACTAGGCTTTGTTATAGGGACAGGCGGTGTAGGCGTCTGCTGTGAAGGTATGCCACCACCTGGTAACACGGGACGCTGTTGCGGTTTCTGTAGCTGTTGGACGGGTGCTTGAGGATGAGGAGGAATAGATTGCTGTGGATGAGTTTGAGGATGTGCCATGTGCTGATGCTGTGGTGGTTGTGTCTGCGTGGGCGGCTGTGCTGGTGGCGGCTGTATTGCTTTTTGAACTACTGTTTTTGTCATCCGTGGAGATTTTGTTGGTGCTGGTTGATACATTGCTTGTCGACCAGAAGGTATTTGAGGACTAGTATTATAGGCTTGGTATGGACTTCGGCCCGCTTGTGCTTGTGCCTGTGCCTGTGCTTGCGCTTGCACTTGAGCCTGTGCCTGAGCCTGTGCCTGCGCTTGCGCTTGCGCCTGTGCCTGTGCCTGTGCTTGAGCCTGTGCCTGTGCCTGTACCTGTGCAGCCTGCGCCTGTGCTTGCTGTGCTGCTGCTTGTTGAGCTTGTTGAGCTTGTTGTTGTTGATGATGATGATGATGTTGTTGTTGCTGCTGCTGCTGTTGTTGTTGCTGCTGCTGTTGTTGCTGCTGTTGTTGTTGCAAAGCCGATTGCGTTTGTTGAGGATTGCCCTGTCCGCCGCTTCCTGGCTGGGGAGCCCCCGATTGTTGCTGGTAGCCAAGTCCTAAAATATTCTCATGGTGGTGGTAAGCCGACACACGTTGAGATGCTTGCGGTGGATATGCCTATAATAAACAAGGTCAACGATCATTCTCAATCCTATAATTTCTCATACGTATTAATAGCGGAAATCTTGTACTTGCCTCCCTTTTCGCAGGTATTGGGCTAATCGCACTCGTTACTGATTGCTGTCCTCCAGCAGTATCATTTATTGTAGACAACGATGGACTGGATGACATTTGAGCATATCTTCTTGGCGGTTGCCTGTTGAGGACTACAGGCTGTTGGACTTGTGACTGTTGTGATTGTTGGGCGGATTGAGTAGGTGTTTGTTGTGGAGTCATTTGCGTCGGATTCTGTTGTTGTTGAGAATATCGAGGAGCATGCAGGTAGTTTTGTTGCTGTGTGGTAGATAATGCTGATGTGGACGCCGAAGCAGTTCCAGATGTTAGAGACTGTTCTTGAAGCGATCCATCCATCAAGTCTTCACCCAATTCGGCAGTCTTTAAAAGAAATAAGATTTGCAAATTATAAATACAGATAAATTTGAATTGAGATTTGCAGCAAATTCTACATATGTGATTCAATATACCAAACTAACCGAATCGTCGACTACTCCAAAAGGGCTTAACTGTTGGTCGCCCAGACTCATTGCTGATCTCCCTGAGAAATTTATTGGACTCATGTTGCTCATGTTGTTCATGTTTAATCCAGTCATGGAAAAGTTATTTAGATTACTTGTATCCATTGACCATTGTGGCACTCGTTGCATTGAACCAACGGAAGAATTTGTTGGTGTCGGCAGAGATAGCATGTTGCTATTTGGCTGGGATGCGGATGACTGTGATGTAGTCGACCCCGATCCTGCCGTGTGGAATGGTTGGAGTGATGTTGCTGTTGCTGTTGGAAAGAATGCAGCAATTATAGTTATGAAAGACAGTTAGATCATGGTATATAGAATGTGATCAAGATCAGTTTAACTATGGATCCAAGAATGACGAGGGTATGCGATGAATGCAAGCCTGTACTGTATATTTTTTAGTATATATTAAGATTAATATACTATACTATTGTAAATAAAATATTTTTGTGTGAAACTGCAGCCGATGACAAGGGGAAAAGAAAAATTACCGTGATGTCCACCGCCATACATGGATTGAGTGTTCAAAGACTGCTGTTGCATATGCGATGCAACTGGTTGTTGCAATCGCCTGTGTTGTTGCTGTTGACTTGATGTAAACAAACCATTGTTAGGAGATGGAGCGAATCCACTGGAGGCAGCGCCGGTAGAGGTGCCGGTGTGCCCGTAGATGTTGTTCTGATGCAAAACATTAGTGGAATGATCCCAAGCAGAGCTCTTTTGCCACGACATGCCGTGTTGTTGAGTCTGTTGTGTTGGTTGTTGGGCGTGTGATGCGGAATAGTAAGAGGATCTTGCGGGATCCATGCGCGGACTGGTATAGCTGTTAATGGGAGCTACGGCAGCGTTGAAGGAGGGCGTGGCATTATGACTGAACTGCTGTGTCTGCAGTTGCTGTGGAGAGGGATAACCGGCCTGGAAATAGCGCTGGTTGTTTGGGTTTGAAGAAGCGTATCGTGGATTGTTGTTGTATGCCATTAGGATTTAATGAGATATGGAGTCGGACATACAAATCTTTTTTGGCGGAGAGTATATTAGTTTCGGTATAGTTGATTGAGTGCGGGTACAGTTGATGAGTGTGTACAGTTTCTTTTTTTTTTTTTTTCTATTAATTACGGTTTAGTGATTCGTTATAAATTCCTGATGATAGAAATAAACAGTCCGAGTTATAAATTTTACTGTAGAATGGTATGATATTATGTCGATATTAAGATGTTCAATAGAATAAGTAATATAAAAAATATATTATTATTGTTGGGTTATACTTTGTTACTCTTACTTTTTTTTATTTTGTTGCGTTGTTACTCTTACTTATAATACGCTGTTACTCTTATACTTTTTGTTATATGAGAGCAGTGGAATATAAAAATCGATGATTTTCTTAATTTTTGTGAGGAGGAAAAAATGCACTGTCTCAACAGAAAAAAGTAAAGTACAACCAACCCAGTTATTTATTACAAAATCAGGGAGGGCAAAACGACAATTAGTTTGTTGCAGGCACTGTATAAATAAATAAATGGGGCAAATAAGGATGAGTAATTGGCAATATAAATAATTGCAGTACGCAATATATTCAGTACTGTAAATTGTATTATTGATTAATAATTGCAGTGTGAAGAATAAGACATATAAATATAAATACAAATAAATATAAATATAAATACATTACTACGATCTCACACTCTGTATATTTATTTATATCTGTATATTGCATATCGTTATTATTACTATGATGATGATTATTATTAATACAAACTAATCAACGAATCGACTAATTATAATACAAACCATACAAAGATTTATATTGTGCTGTAAACTTGCTTCTTTATTTACCCCTGACTTGTAACCAACATACAAAGCCCTCTTTGGCGTATATTTGGACTTATAAGGGATGAGGCGTATTTTATGGGGGCCATAATTTGTGTGGAAAAAGAATGAGCAGGTGATAATTAAACGACAACACGGTCGACAGTGATAAGATAAGGAATATCAATGACAGTACTGTATATCATAACGTCCATATATAGTCTATTATGTGATTATGATGATTGTCACCCAATAGTCACCCAATAGTCACCCAATCGTCACCCAATAGTCATCCAATCGCCACCCAATCCCCACCCAATCGCCACCCGATCGTCACCCAATCGTCACCTACCTCGTCTTGCAATCACACATCACAAACTAACCAATCATCCCAGATCTCCGATCAGCAGTTCTTTCTGTACCACAGAACGACATAATTAGAGTTATTTGGCTGGAACATCACTACGAATGTGTGCGAATCGAGCGAGTATACTAATTGAATACGTTGAGCGCTCTGGAAATACGGGGTATGATTATCATACACTTCACAACAGATCAACAATCGCAATCTACATGAGTCAACCATTCTCCATTCTCCGCCGCTGCCCCGTTGCGTTGCCCCTTCCCCTTAACACTAAATCTCCCACGCAAAAGAAAAAAAGTTGCAAGATAATAATATTAAAGAACGTGAAAGAAGAAATAACGTTCATAAATGACTAGAACACAAGCAGGTTTTCATTGTTCCCAATTTCCAAATAGCAAATGATGATGTCTAGTCTGCATATGGTTCTTGTTACTTTCTCACATTCCGCATGAATCAGATATAGTTGTGGTGTTACCAGTCAGTCGAGTTGAGTGAGCCGAGTGAGTTGTGTGGAGTTTTCGAGTTGTTACAGTAATTCAGTAAAATTCAGTAATACCGAAATACCGTAATACAGTAATAGTAATACAGCAAGTAAGACAGTAAGTAATACAGCAATTTTTTTCTCCTCGTGATTAAATTCTTTATTAGTGACTTTTACCAAGCGGTTTTCCTCGTGGAATTGTCCCCTTCTCCATCAGGTAGCGGTGCAAAAAGAGCGAAGAAGAACGAGAGTATAAGTAGGGGGTATGTTTGGGTAATGTGTCGGAGTAGGAGTTTGGAGTCGAGATCGGGATTGGGTCGTGTTAGGTTGGCTGGCTTGCAATCAAATCAGCATCCACTCCCCCTACCAGACGGTTAGAAAAAGTGTAACGCACATTCGTCATAGATGGGATATGTATAACAACTAAAAGCGTAATCGTCACATAAACATCACCAATACACAACCTTTTTTTTTTTTTTTACACCGAACCTTGGCGTATACATTCATATACTCCATACCTCGTGTATCATACTCGGGCTGTATCAAGTATACACCTGATACACAATCTAGTCTAAATTTAGTCTTGTGGTTTTCGTCATACAAGACGATGTAACAATAGTTGCGAAATTTCTCTTGTCTTCCCGACGTGGAAGCCCTGATAACCAAGCGGATATTGTGAGTGATGGATGCAATATAGACTTGTCGTCTGCTGGATTATGACAAACACACACTGGGTGGTTAAACAATTAAACGTCTGTGTAGAACACACTGTGAATATCAACGTATTAGTATGCATACATATCCAACATGACACAATTGACTCCAATATTTAGTATACCGGATATTACATTAAATAGCAACTTGCTCATTTATACGTACGGTTCATTTTATGCAATTAATTTATTATAATCTTTGTTGATAATACACACCCATATTTGATAATGTATGCACTATTACTATGCGTTGCCATTATTTTTAATTACACCACTATTCACGGAAATTACCACTATCCATTGTGACTACGTACGATGGATGTATTGGTCATATCCTGCAATTTGTTAAATATGGCTACTTCCATCTCACTTTTCCTTGTTACACATTATTGTATCAAATACTGCAAATACTGCAAATACTGCAAATACAATACTGCAATCCCAATACTGCAAATACAATACTGCAATCCCAATACTGCAATCCCAACTTCCCCAGTTTACAATGCCCATCCGATCATCCTGCATTGTTTCTCGCGAAACAAATGTACTCAAGATAAACTTATTCATTTCCACTATTTTTTTCCCCCAATTCACTGACATATGCTATTGCTCGTGCGTGGTATTCTGACATCTGATACAGTTATGATGCACATACCCAACATATCCTGATCAGTACTTCATCCAGACTTCTCCACATTGAACTAACAAACAACAAAGCTTATTCTTGTGCTTGTCTTGTCTTTGTCGTTTGTTTATTAGTTTAAGATTGGTCATTGTTAATAGTGAAATTAATATATGAATAAAAAGTACCATATACATAGCAAGTATGTCTGCGAAAAATCTATGGAAAAAGTGTTTACATGTACAATCCAAATGTAGTAAGTAGTATAACCCATTGATCACTAAGTGAAGATAAATATTTAGTATTTAATAGGCATCTAAACATTTGGTCTAACATAAACAGTTGTTAACATGCGTGCGTAATTGCGTAATGTAATATATAAATACAAATAAATATATATATATATGCGCACTTGTAAGATTGTAAACTTTATACATTGCCTAATATCTATAACTTTACTATATTGTTTATAACCGTTGAACTTTTGTCAGCATTCCCAAGTACTATCCTCTTGTACTGTTTAAACAAGGCACGACAACTAGAGAATGCAGAGATGCTTGCTTTTGAGAACGGGAACGCGCGCTTGATAAGGAATGTATCAACCACGAACTTTGAGTTCTCGTCGTTTGATTGTTACTCGAATCCCTTCGATTGGCCATCTCCATAAAGAATAGGAGGCGTGATTATGGGACAATTATTGATGATAGGCTATATGAGGAAATAGATTACGGGTAATATCTACATGTCTGATAAACGAGCGTGAAAACAAGCTGTTACCAGTTTGCATAAGGTGATTGCTGTCACATCTGCAATCGAGTAAATATTTACAAGCTTAATGATATTCAACGTCACCATACCACAGAGCTGTATGTGCAGCTTAAACTGGAATCAAAGAGTTTAATTAATACTTTCACATTAGTTATACCATAAGTGATCTTTTTCACTGTTAATCTATTCACACATTGATCCTAGATAGTACAACTATTTATTTTGATCGTATATTTATATGTATATGTATATAATACAATAATGTGTGTATATATTGTATTTATATTTAACTATCGTAATACAATTCCTATTAATCGTTGATTTAATATTAACCCGAAAATTTTTGGTTGCGTCATATCCGAATGCGTACATCATATTTACATAAAATTAGTATTAGGACATTACAGCTCAATTAAAAAAGAAAAATTTGCCTGAAATGCATGATAAAAAAATCACTTCAACAACTTACGGGGGGTTAAGGAAATAATTATCTCTTCTTTTTAATCAACACATCAAAACAGTACTGAAACAATAACGCTAGAGCATAATAAATATTACATTTTGTTTGACCAATCCTCTTGGAAAGGTTTAGATTGAAAATAGTGTTTAACATGATCAATAAGTGTTGCGATTAAATTTATAGTCGAGAAGGACATAAAGTCTTCAGTATTAATCGTCAATGGTATAACAATTGTTATTGTTGTCATTAAGGTTAGGAAAATAATTCCAGCGTGGAGGTCTTCTTTTTTTGTTGTTGTTGTTGTTGGTTGTAGTCATCAGCTTTCTCCTTTTTGCCCGATGTAATTGGCGTATAAACTACCTCCTCACTACACATAAACCAGCCAAAAATAACTCGAAGATACTGGAAAATTTACGTGAAATTACTTTTTTCTGTACTTGAACCTCCTTTACTTTTCTTTTAAACACTTCAATAAATCGAATGTAAAAGAAAGAAAAGGAGCGCTTTTGTTAATATGAGAATACGCATTTTATAATGGTTAGCCTATTTTCAAATTCTTTTTTGCATTCTCTAAACCTACGAACTGTTTATTTCCTAAAAAATTTAGCAAAAAAGTTGGGGAAAGTTTTTTTGGTTTAATAATTGTACAGTAAATTGAACAAACTAAAACGGTCATTATAATTATACACTCATGTCAGTCACAAATAAATTGTGTTCTTTCAACAAAGTATGGGAGAAAAAATTAATTCTGATTTATATATTATGTTTTACTTATGAACAGTAAAAACTGGCTTTGGAACAATTGCATTTATCTCTGACAAATGGACAAACGTTATTATAAAGTAACTGTCTTTTGAAATTCAAAAGATAAAGATTTAACTTTCTTGGCAATTTCAGAAATTGGTTTTCTAGTTTTCAACAAGTAAAGAACACCATTAGCTCCTATTACTATTTGCATTTTAACAACGTCAGGATTAGGATTAGCTGTTTCAAAAAGAAAATGCTGATACTTTACTATTGAAAATGTATGTAGTTTTTTTCCCCACAATAGCAACAATATGATCCACAGTTTTTCGATACAGATAAAGTTTAATCCAAAACTACCATTACACTGAATTTAGATCCAAAACTACCATTACACTGAATTTAGTATGCACCTCAGTTGGCTGAGTATCTGGCGGAATTAGACAGGTCCCAAAACACAGGTACATATGTACCATAAAATTAGTTTAATGATAATTGAAAAATACTAAATACAGGTAAATTAAATAGTAGCATTGTTCTTATTTTGTCTGTTCACCCGCATTACTACAAGTAATCTTTAAATAATTTTGAATCTTTAATTTCATCAGAATACTATTTCGTCCTCGACACAAAGTGGATTAATTCGTTCGCGTACTGCTTCACCTGAATGCCAAATTAATGCTCTCTACGTTGACTAGGATAATAAGTCTTACTTATCCTGTTGATGGAATGTGCATTTTGTGTTCTGTAATGAGCATTAACGCCACGTACTTCTCGTTTATAAAATGCTCATATCTACCAACACAACTGTATGAAAGCCTTGAATTATATATTAAAAACGTACGCGCTAGTCGGGGGTTTTTTTTTAAATGTTAGCTGGATGTGAGTTGCAACAACAAAGAGCATGTCGTGTCAGCCAATACGGGCAGGGCTAATTATTTATACTTGGCCTTAATTCGGGAAGCTTTCTTGATGCCGTTGTTAGGGGTTTCCAACTGGTCAAATACGTTCTTGCTGACGATAATTCCCGTCCTCCTATTAGACGTGTGGTTCTTATTCTAATAGCAAGGGAAACCGATAATAAATACGTGTAGATACGCACGTGCATTCCGACCCTTCCTTCGCAAACGGGGTACCTGAGAGGTAGAGTTCGAGCGATTCGGACGTTGACGTTTGGCCTTAGCTGTATGACGATGGACGATGGACGATGGACGATGGACGATGCAATTCTTTACAAAAATAAAGGATTAAGATTCTGCACTAATTGTCTCACACTTTATTGCCACCGCAAGTTAAGGTTGGTTACTGCAAATAGCAGCGAAGACATTATCGATTCTTAGTAAATTAATAAAGTCTCCGTCCGTCGATTGTCAATCGATAGGTTGACTATTAATTATATCGTTAATTTATTAAATTCGTGTATTACTGAGAATAATCAATAACATCAGCAACATCGAACTCGGAACATATTGAGAATGAGTTTTATTTATAATAAATTATCGTTACGCTTTTCAATGCACGTCCATTACCGGTGAATATTAACACACGCTATTTCTGCTTTTTCAATAATGCACTTGACAGATTGGTGTATTTTTTTGACAAATTGGATTGTTCTGACAAAGATCGTGTAAGTCGCATTATCGATCACCTGATCATATGACGTTGCAGCACACGCGATGTAAGTTGATTAGTAATTTCTAATTCTTCCCAATACCAAGATCCGGTTAATTAAAAGCAAAGGTACGCAATTATTCAAAGATACTTTAAGGGTTGAAAGAGTCTGCATTTAGTTTGGTTGTCATCATCATCAATGATGTGTGCAGAACCATAGATACGCGAGATACGCGATACAACAAAACAGTAGAGATAACATTAAACAGTTATCCAGATTTTTTATAGCGCAATTAGAAATCGCTGATAACAGAATGCTGTTAAAAAAGTTTGCTGGGTAAAACCAAATTGACAGTTGATAAAACGTTTGCGATGACTGTAAAATTTCTCGAAAGTTATTAATTCTAAGACTCGTGTAGAAACGTCAATCGAATACCCAATCTATTATATTTTGCCAGCAGAAACAAATTATAAATCGGTAGATTAGTATGCAGGCCTTGAGAAAGCAAGCACATTGACATTACTAAAATGTAAAGCCAATCAATTGGCAAAACGTCAGTTCAGATCACGTGAATTTATCGAGTGATGTGTCACTATAAGGTTTGATTGACATCTAAAGTTGCTCTTCCTGTTCTACCAACATACCCAAAGGAATATATCCACTTTGAGGTGTACATAATCCATCCATCATGGTAATGAACATAATTCACATTCAGTCTATCTCTTAGATGAAAATTAGTCGAAGGAATGGGAGTAGAAAAAAACAGGTTGACAACGACACAACTGTATTTCTGTTTCTGGGGAAACATCAAGTTCCATCAGAAACTCTTCATATTTCTGTTTCTGAGGCAATGTTACGTTCCAGCAGAAACACTCGTATTTTTGTTTCTGGGGAAAACATCGAGTTCCATCAGAAACTCTTGTATTTCTGTTTCTGGGAAACATCACCATTGAGATAGAATAGTTTAAACGAATAGGTATTCGTTTGACCAAGTAGAGTAAACTTGTCGATTTCGAAAGAGGTTGATCAATGCAGCAATGGTCAAGAACGTGAATCAGGACACTCTTTCAAGACTACCCCTATTCTTACACTGTTTAATGGCCAGATTAGATTATGTCAAATCTGATCGGAACGAGAAAAAAAAAAACCAAAAAAAAAAAAACGTCATTTCTCACTCCGTGCTCCCATTTTCCCCTTGCACGTTTTGCTTTCAATTGCCCCATGATGCATTTTTTCCATAGGTCCCTCCAACGGAAGGAAAGTCGCCACACACAAACGTAATGCGAGAACTCCGAATCGAAAAGCTCGTTCTCAACATCTGCGTTGGAGAATCAGGTGATCGTCTGACTCGTGCTGCAAAAGTGCTCGAGAATCTCACGGGCCAACCGCCGGTCTACTCAAAAGCACGATATACCGTCCGTTCGTTTGGTATCCGACGTAATGAAAAGATTGCAGTCCACGTTACGGTCCGCGGACCCAAGGCAGAAGAGATTTTAGAGCGTGGATTAAAAGTAAAAGAGTACGAATTGAAACGAAGCAATTTCTCGGATACCGGTAATTTTGGATATGGTATTCAGGAACATATTGATTTGGGAATCAAATATGATCCGAGTATCGGTATTTATGGCATGGATTTCTATGTGGTGATGGGCCGTCCGGGAGCACGAGTCTCGAGACGACGAAGAGCAAGGAAGAAGATTGGATTCAATCATCGAGTTACTAAAGATGAGACTATTAAATGGTTTAAGCAGAGGGTAAGTAGGAGTGTGTTGTTGGAATTGGGAATTGGGAATTGGGATAATGGATGAAATGTTGCAAGACGCGATCTTCTAATTGTTTGGCTTTTTGTCTTTATAGTTCGATGGTATCGTACTCAATCGCTAGTTATATATCGTATTAGTTGCTAATCGATCAGGTGGTTTTTTCCGATGAACAATAAAACTATCAAAATTCAACATATTAATGGATTTCATCACATGTATTGGATAGCTGGAATATTAAATATGGTCACGGTTATTATTATTATATTATTATTATTTTTCAAACTGAAAGTGTACATAATTAACTCTATAATTGTACCGACTACTACAACGATCATTAATATGTTGTCGTTATCAACTTTCGTTTTGACACATCTATTGTCCGCTATTCTTGCTAGTGTTGTAATCGGTTGTCTCCACCAGCATTATATCCTCTTCCCGATCTAAGGCACTTGTTAGCAAAATGTCCCTTTTGACCACATTTGAAACATGTAACTTCTGACAATGGACGATATCCAGCATAATGCTGTTGCTGTTGATGCTGCTGATGTGGTTGCTGCTGTTGCTGCTGATACTGTTGCTGTTGATGGTGCTGCTGTTGCGGATGCTGCAGATGTTGTTGTTGTTGTTGCTGCTGCTGCTGCTGCTGCTGTTGTATTTGTTGTTGGGGATGCTGCTGCTGCTGCTGCTGCTGCTGTAGCTGCTGCTGCTGTTGCTGTTGCTGCTGCTGCTGTTGCTGCTGCTGCTGTTGTGGATGCTGCTGCTGTTGATGGTGATGATGTTGTTGATGATGTTGATGATGATGGTGATGATGGTGAGCGTGCTGTATAAACGAGCCATAAGCAATTAATTATAGTTACAAAATGCGAGAATATTTAGCGTCTAAATAATACCTCTTCCATTTCAACACCTCTCATTATGTCATCTTCAGTCCCATCAAAGTCGCGTTGTACGCTTGGAAGTTCATACTTTGGACTACAGCAATTGGGAAATAATAAAACAGTGAACACACATATGTAGATCTTTGGCTAATATTTTAATACTTACTGTCCATTTGGGCACTCGGGTCCTTTCGGACAGAATCCGGATAGATAAGCCTGACATAAAACCTTTCTCACATGTTTGTGACGGCAATTGGGACCTAAAAATTTACAAGGGCAATCAAAGAGTGTATTGACAATCTATGGACGCTGTTGATAATATCCCATTTTTCATGATTGCGTGCATCCAAATTGAACCAGTTTAAATCATAATATTATCACCATCTCACATTCCTGACATGACCTTAATGCTACGCTACATTCATAATTTGTCACCGGCACTCACCATGCTTGCAGAATCCTCTCGCGTACCATGCGCATTCTTTGATCTTGCTCTCGGGATCAATATGTAAATACATGCAATCTTCATTACTACATTCCCCATATCGTGAATAAAACCAACATTCAGGCATTTTACGCATGTTAAATTCATGAAGAAATTCACACTGATCCCCCTTCTTGCATAATCCGCGAAGCCAATGTTTACAGACAACAGCTTTTTCTCTTGAATTGTTCGAATGTTTATATTCACATTTGGGGCCTTTGGTACACGTTCCACGTATGTAGAATTGACAGACTTGGTCTAAGTTTGGTTTTAATTCAATGAAAAAAAGATTGTTATTGGAATTGGGTAAAGAGAGATCAACAAAGATCGTTTATTGAATCTAATTGTTTACATGACACTTCTAAGTCTTATACAACTAATAACTTTCAGTTCGATACGTTATTCTAAACATGTTCCTTGAGTCTTTATTGTTACTGTTCGATCACCACTCACCAGTACCATTTAATCCTAACCCTAATTCTGTCTTAACATAATCCTCAAAATCAAAAGAAACTCCTCTGTAATCATTCGAGAAGAAGTCTTTCAGAATTGTATCTTCCATTTTCCAGTGTTTGACTATTACTTTGTTTGAGGACTGAAAGTGACACGTAGAGATAAGTCTCACCCACATTGACGTTTCTCATAACTTTGCAAATAGATCAGAACATATATATGCTTACACGAAGGGCGAACAGCGTCGGTACTATGACGTTGAGAGGTGCGCAACGTCGATTATTATTATATTCGATTTTCAGTCACATGACATTGTTTTTTGATCTGACCAATAGAAAATTTGACTTGTCTTGGCGTCACGAAATTAGACATTTACATATCCAATTTGGGAATGGAAAGAAGTTCATTGAATATTCTTAAGACGTTCGTATCAAAAATTAGGAATTGCACTCATGGACAGAGTTCGTTATAACGATAAATAACGAAGGGGGGGGTGTTTCATATTTAAGTGCATATTAATATGAAACATGCAATAGTTTATTTATTAACAACTGTTTAGATTAAACTAAAATTTTTTTCCCCTTTATACTCGCAGCGCACGAAAAAAGTAACGAAAGAATAATATTTTTATTAACTGCACAGCAAGAAAGAAGTGCACAAGATTTTATATGCATACTGCCTGTGATATGGTAAATAAATTTATTTAAGCCCAATAGTGCTTTTCAATTGGTTAATATCTGGGGTCAATCCATAATTGTGGGCACCATTGTATGAGAAGTTTCATGGTTTCCTTATGTTGCGTTACTATTACTAGAACATTGGTTTTTTTTTTTTTTTTTTTTTTTTTTTTTTTTGCATAATCAAAGAGATTTTTCGGTTAAAATTTTACAGTAAAGTGCATCATTCATAAATATCTGTGACATTCTTATTACTTTTTGCGCGCACTGTGACAACAACTTTAAACTCTTCATTTGCGATAATAAGTCTTGGTATTGCTGCCTAACGTAATTAGTAATTCGTGACTGCTCCGCCGCTTATGACAATAGAAAGCTGTTCTTAAGGCTCATCGGGTTTGTCTGGTTTGTCAGGACACTTACTATGTCAACCGTCTCTTGGTCAATAAGCTCATTATTGATTTTGATATATTGAATAGGTAATCAGTCAATTATTATCCGCGTTGGATTGATTGATAATATCCGAGTTTCTTCCAACCGTTTACGCGCATACAGCTCCCATAATGTTGTGATTTGCTTATTCAATGGACTGGGTCACAATCCACAACACTGGCTAAAGACACCCGTTCGTTTGAATCTCAGAGGATGACCGTCTCTGAATGGCAATTTGTATTTAATCTACTTTGCTGCGGTTGATATGCTGTATGCGTTGGTCTGCATATAAGAATTTCTAGAGTAATTTCCATGACCAAAGTTAAACAAGTTTCTAATAAGGCAGCTCTCAAAGTCAACCATAAGTCAATTGCAGACAGTCAACTATGCGTTTATAATAACGTAATGCTCTATTTCTTTGTAAAGTAATTTTGCTTTTCTCATTCGGCTTGTACACGATTAATGATGAGGACATATCAACATGTTTATGGTAACCATTTTACAAAGCACCAAGAACTACATATTAATTGATTCACAATCTGTTAATTGTCACGGTAGAAATAAAGAATTTTTTCACGTAGGCTGCAGGAAAATGGTCAACGCATTTTCTTCCGAGGAATGAATTTAGTTGTCTGTTCGTGTCGATGATGCTTGTCTAAAAAAATTTCAAGCGCAACATCAGCACATTCTTGTAATACTGACTCGCCTTGTCTCAGCTTGTTATAATTTATTGTCATCACAAAAAAGATACGAAGCGGAGTCCTGCATCCATGGTATTTCCATACGTATTCTATATTGCGATAAAGTATTTGTTAGAATATTCTTGCATCGCTTAAGAATAATACACAGTGAACCTGGATATAACGAAGTGGTCCGTTCCAATCTTTTTCTTCGTTATATCCGGGCAGAAAATTCTATTAGACAAGGTTTTGGGACATCGAAAAAATTTTGTTATAGTCGAAATTCGTTTTATCCAGGTTTCGTTTTATCCAGGTTCACTGTGTATCGCTGTTATCCAGTTAATGTAGATACATATAAAGTAAAAGTGAATGAACATGGTCCAGTAATAGTAGTCGACTTTGAATTCTTAATATTAACATGGTTTACAGAATGTGATTCATGTGCATCGAAATAACATTCATAAATCAATAGTACGTATTCATCTTGATGCTGCTAAGATGGTAAACGTGACACTAACCAATGAACATATTTCTACGTCCTCGGTCATTAACTGTATATAAGCTTACCATGTGAACGAAAGAGAGTGACTATGTAACATATTACGTAATTACTGTTCTTATATCCATCCCACTTTTGAGTTAGACGAAAGGGGGGGGATATAAACGGGGGGTGACTGTATACATATTGTTATCTAAATATAAATTAAGCAAGCAAGGTATTGTAGTTAAGGGCAACTATTATAATAATGGGTTCATTCTATGAAATTTTTGTGACGCGTACTGTAGATCTTTGTTTATAATCTGAAAAGTTGTCATTGTAAACAAATAGCTACCTCGTTTCCCCCATCAAAAGGCCAGTCTTCCAAAGACTAGAGTTTGGAGAATGCCTGGTACACGCAATAAGATCGAAAATTTTGTTCCTGCAATTAAACATGGTGGCGGATTTTCAGGAAAAAGTTTATAATAAATTTGATCGTTGGGGCTATGTTGATATATTGATACCATATATTCAACAAGATATCGCGCCCATTCATAGAGCCAAGGATGTTACCGATTGGATAAATCAAACAGTATTAAAATGTTTGGCCATCCTAATCGCTTAATCTTAATCCCATTGAACATTTATGGGTTAAATTAGACTGGCATTAAAGGCGGAATGCGAACCCCGGAATGGGCATATCTAAATCTAATAACTTGCAGTACAAGCGTGGGATGGCCAACTAAATATTAAAGTATACCTTTAGCGTTCAATCGTAGGTGTAAACAAATAAAGAACGCAAAACTCCAACTAACATTAATAGATATGATTTGATGTATCAAACTTAAACTAAAAATTTATGCCTAAAATTTTAATTACTTTAGGTTCTCACATTGTTATATTAATAGCTCCAGCTACACCAGCCTCATGCAGCACACGTGTTCAACATTATTATATTGATTTCTGGCAAGGAGAATTTCGTAAAAAGATTCTGTATTAACATCATGCTCGCCAAAACATGTGTTCCCGTTGCCACACTGCATACAATTATAACATTGGTTTGTCTTTTGTGATCGAACCGCATATTGCATGTATGCATTACGATAGCGCCTTTCAATGGTTGTAATTTTATCTATAGTTACGAAATTTGCCTTTTCAGTCTAATACTAATTATAATCATACCTATTACAAAGATGTAAATGCCACGTTTTCAGTTTCTTATACAGTATTATGTGCAACATGTATATTCTTTCCTTATTGGTATGCCTTGTTATTATTATCGGCTGCATTGCTGTTGTTACGGTTGGACACTGTAATCTGAACAAAGCAGTAACGTAGAGTTTAGTTACCTTTTCAGCAATATTACATTTATAACGAGCTTCCAGTTAGCGAACAACTTATGTCAATTAATGTTATACGCTTGTCTGGTCTAAGACTCTGCATGAGCCTCGATGTCATACATAATATTAACATTAATAATCGTAAGTGGTAGTAATTAATTCCATATTAATCGGGTAAGTTTTGTGTTGATGTTGATCAGTTAACAAACAAATAATATCGTTTCCGAATAAGTTTACTGGACGTTGAAAGGGTTCTAAAAGCAAATTGAATGATCTGCTTTGCTGGTCGATCATATTCAGTATAATGTTATTATAAATATTTATACCCGGATTAATAAAATTAGTTATGAGAACGTACCAATGGGGGAAATGATCGGAACAACCAAAAGATGTTTATGATCGAAGGTATGCGAAAACACACAAAGGTTAGCCACAAAGCGATTTGAAATTAGGTGCTCGGTATACCGATAATAATGTCAAGAGAAAAAAGCAACCTCACCAATATGCATTTTGGAAAGCGACAACACCAAGCAAAATCAAACTAATTGAAACGAAACAAGCGAAACAAGCGAAAGAAACGAAAGAAACGAGACAAACGCTATTTCTATCCAACATTGTACAAATGTCCGCGACGCTTTATGAAACATATTAAAACTGCGCCACTCAAACCCTGAATTTGTTTCCATATTTATCGTCACCGTCCCACTCACATGACTATCGAACATGGTCAATGTCTGTTCTTCAACGACATCAACAACATTGTTTTGATTTCACACCTTGTTTGTACTTTATATTTATTACCACTGTTATACTTTCACTCTTTAACGTTATAACTCCTACCGTCAGCTATGGATTATATCAACTGGCTCAGCAATGACTGGAAGGCACTAGAGAGCAGCGTCAGAGACAGACGCGCGGATAATACTACCACCAAACCTACCACTATCAACACCAAGTCTCTCTCGACTCGACAACCAGACAGCAAATTAGAGCGCAACTCTCATAATTCTCAAACTGCGCGCCTAGCTAAGGCTCGAGTCGTGAGAAAACCTGCCTCACCCACTTACGCAGAGCGACAAAGTGGAACACGCTCAGAAAACAGAGTGGTAAAAAAGTTGACGGTGGAGAAAGAGGAAGAGAAGAGCGTCACGGAGACTATTATTCCCCCGGCGCCCTCAAAACCTACTATAGAGTCTCTCCAGTACAAAATATTGGATCAGAAGCACACAAAAGGACTCCGTAGTGGTGGCGAGAGCGATAGTGAGAGTACCGTGAGTGACGAAGTCCCGAAAAAGAGTGAAAGCATTTCTCATCGTAATCAACTAGACATTCTCCCAAATGGAACGTCTCGATCAAGGAATCACCCAACTCCTCCAAGAAGCGTAGAAGTGGGGACCGAAGAAGAAGATAACAATGAGTGCGAGGTTGACTTATCCAGGAACGATCAAATAAAGGAGAATCAAGATAATGGCCATGTAAAGAAGTTGAAGATGTATTCTTCAAAAAGTAAAAAGCGCGAGGGTGTATCACAAGCTAATCGTTATAGATCGACCCTGATCAACGGACTTATTGATGAGGACTCATCGCGTGATTCAAATAGCGATAATCAATTAAAAAACAAAGGTTTAGAGAAGAAGATTAACAAACTGAAAAAACCGAAGGGAAAGATAATGAGTCCGTCTACTTCGTCTTCAACTTCTCTCGATGACGACGTTTCATCATCTTCTTCCGTTGTACCACTGCGAAAGCGCAACAAGCGAAACTCTCCAACTAGAGAAAGGCACAAGAAACCTCGAATAGAATCTAAGAAGGATCTCATTGTTATTCCCATTGGCGACGGTATAACGTTCAAGAATTGCAGCGAGGCAGTATGGGCGATGAGGGATGACTATGTACCTTGTAAGCTTCGTGCGAGAGGAATATTATGTGTTAGAAGGATTATACTTGGATGGTAGTATATAATTATGAATATATTTACGATGCGTGTTAGGGGAAACTCTGGGTACAGGTTGTCAAGATGGTACTTCGCCGAATCAGTCAGATGACAAGTCTGGTAGTAGACATCGGTTTGTCGAAGTTTCTTTAGAGTATCCTGCGAATGGTGTCCAGGAAATGTAAGTTGGAAACATCTCATAGAATGTCTCAATTGATTTGTGTCAACATGCATGTTAACCACATTTCCACTCGTAGTTTCTGGATCGCAGATCCGCGAGACCCTGCAAATGCTTATGATCCAGCAGAAGATCTTCTTGATACTGTCCGTATTATAGCAGAGAAATATGTAAAAGACAAATCAGCGCGGGAAGAATATTTATGGTGTGACAAGGTGAATAGTCGAACTCCTGTCTATAGGATAAGGAGAGCAAAAGGCCGACGGGATCCAGTTTTAATGGATGAAGCAGTTAGGGCATTTAATTCAGCTTTTAGGAAATTGAAGGACGAAGGGAAAGTAGCAAGAACAAGAGGAGATAAAGATCTTTTGCGTCATGTATTGTTTCAAGCATATAGTAGAGTTGTATCGCCTGAAGTTGACATGCTCAAGGGGAAGCGTATGTTTACAAATTTATATGCACATGCCCTGATCCATTTAATTATAACAGCGGGGCTATTCTACTCAATTACTTACATTTTATTTATTTTTCGTTAATTCTTCTTATTGCATTCAGTCGCATCCGAGACGTATGGAGAAATTCTATTTCCATTCATTGATGATATTATAATACGAACGAATCTTAAGAAAAAACACAAGTTTATCGACTTGGGTTGTGGTGTTGGGAATGTCTTGCTACAAGTTGCTGGTGAGACTTGTGCAGACTCGTGGGGGATAGAACTACGACATGAGTGTGTTATGCTGGCAAATGCACAACTTGCAGAATTTAAAGCTAGAATGAGGTATGCTATTGTTTATATATAAATTTTGTGATTACTCATTGCTGAGTACTGGATCGAAATAATCTTTTTGTTAGGGCATACGGACTGCCTCATGGAGATGTGACAATCGTAGAAGGAGATTTTACGAAATATCCCAATCTGAATGAACGAATAAGAGAGGCCGACGTCGTATTTGTCAACAATTACAAATTTAGTCCTGAATTGAACGTCTGCCTGATTGATCACTTTTTAGATTTAAAGGATGGTGCTCAAATTGTCAGTTTAGTACCATTCACTGCCGGTAGGAAAGCCAATTACCAGCATCAGTCACTGGATTCTATAAGTAAAACAGTAAAAACTCCGTATTCTTCGTTCTGGATAAGTTGGGGAGGAGCAGATGCCTTTTACTACAGTAAGTATATGTTGCTAAAATGACCGGTATACTTTTATGAGCTGGTGTGATTAGCTAATATTTGACTATTTTGACCCCCCCCCCCCAGTAACGACCATCAAGAGAGACAGTAGTATGCATTCATAAATTAATAAAGGTTGTGGAGCCACACTATTTAAATCTGAAGATTATGAGTCAAGTGGTTAAACATAGTGAATAATAACGTAGAACTTAATAGCTGGGGTTATGTATACGTTTATTGCTATTTTTAGTTTAATAAGTAAATAGAAGATTAATAGATTCAATCATAATAAAGGTATGCTAAGGCGGTTTACAATGTATCGATCATCACACGATGTATTTTACTGGTCATTTATTATCTCGTTGGCATTCCTCTAGATTTTAAAACAGCCTTTATCGAGGCATGCTATCTACCAGCTTTGCTCGAACAATGGAGCCAGTTTGCGAAGAATCTAGGTTCGCTATGAATGCTAATAAATAATCTTGAAGAAGTTTGCTAATATACTCTCTTCCAGTAACACTTCGAAGGTCCCGACCTTTCCAAACATTACAATTTTTAATAAATAAATAAATAAATAAATAAATAAATAAATAAATAAAGATCTATTTAATACGTCCCGAACTATCTACTCGTCTTCGCCGTGAGGACGGTGTATGCTATTTGTTAAAAATTGTCAACTAAAATGAATGCCCTGCCGATAAGTGTCTGGCCAGCCCTCAATTCATTCCATTGCAGTACTTCTACCTCCAATCCTAAAGATCGGACGCGGGTTCTAATTACTATGATAGCAATCATTTCACCGTGTGTAGAGATAAGCGGTCGTTCCGATCTGCCAATGGAGAGTGCGGGAGGTTGGTTTAGGTTGAAAGTGTTTGTTGTTCGGCCAGTTGCTGTAGGTCGGCGCATTTTATGAGCTTTTTTGCCACTCATGTGTCACTACTCCTTCTTAAAAGACGTTCGGCAATTTCGCAACGATTTGTTGCGAAATTTCTTACAAAGGACACGGAAGAAAGCGGTGATCATAATCAATATCCCGATTATGGATCCCTTTTCTTCCTCTTCAAACTCCCACGAGTTAAGGTTTGTTGTTCAACCAGTTGCTGTAGGTCGGCGCATCTTATGAGTGAGCTTTTTTTGCCACTCATGTGTCATTACTCCTTCTTAAAAGACGTTCGACAATTTCGCAACGATTTGTTGCGAAATTTCTTACAAAGGACACGGAAGAAAGCGGTGATCATAATCAATATCCCGATTATGGATCCCTTTTCTCCCTCTTCTTCAAACTCCTCCTTCTCCACTGTGCACCACTTCGTCCGAGAATTTTTGTGTTTTTTATGTAGCGAACTATAAACCGCTCCCAACCACATCACGACATTACTGCATAGAACTCTAGTAGAACATAAGAGAAGATGCCAAATCTATGAGGAATTTGACCCCCTTATGTGGTCAACTGTCTTTGATACCGTTCGCCCGTATCCTCTTGGACCGTTTGATCATCGTCGGCCGAATCGATGGATTCGAACCAGGTCAGGCGCACGTTATAACATTGTCCTTGTGAATCATCCCCGCGCCATAATACCTGAAGAGTAGGTATTAAACAATCAACATGATATTTCTCGCTTGGTCAAGTCTTTTGCAAAGGCATCCTCTTTCCTGAACGTTGTATATATTAGATAATGTGAAAAAAAAAAACCCCCAGGTGATCGACATCCAATGGCAAATAATGATGTGCGAACTGGCAGATGTACTTCAAATTCTATTATTACAAATGTATAAATCGAGAAGATGACTACCTAACGAGATTAGCATTTTTCTATATTCTAATAGAATATTGCGTTTTAATTGTTAATCCAATGATGAAAGAATCTAAAGAAGATAGTTATAATTTATGGTTAATTCACAAAGAACGAAAATTGTTTGATCAAGCAAGAAGCTTACATACTTCTGTAACTACTCCAACGGCAATCGTTTCACCAGCCTTTCGCAACATGACGCGACCGAGCTCCTTATTATCTTTGAAAGTCTCTAATGGAATGGACCTATCGGACAGTTTTATTTCAACTCTGGCTGTAGTCTGCTTTGAGAGATGTCTTTGGTATTTAATTGGGAAAATTCATCAATAAATTAAAATGTAAATAAATAGACATCAGACAGGGCTAATCTATTTAAAAAGTCCTTGCTTACCGCGGGTTTTTCTTGACAATCCCGCCTGTGCTCTTATCAAGGGTTGCAAGTAATTTAGTAATCACTGCGGGTTCGTTCAAGCTCTGATGATGAATAATAACCTATATAAACCATGATATAAAAATAAGCACTACATATGATTTGTAAGTATTACAACGTGGCGAACAAAAAGAACTTACTGGAAATCCCTTTGTGATCGGTATCTTTATATCAAACACCACGATTTGTGCAATGAAGTTTGATGACACTGGCACAGGACTCGACGGAGAACACAATATTGAACCAGTACTTCATGTTGAATAAAAATAACATGTTAGGAATGGACAACACAAAGTATTGTTGTAATCACAACGTCGTAACAAGTACTCGATATGAGCGTTACCTGAGATTTATGATATCAAGACCAGTCAGGGTTGTCAGTATAGTGTCCCCAGCTGCAGCCCATTTCGCAGATTCACCGTTGACCTCGATAGCTAAAAGGATCAAAAAGACCATGAATAAAGTTTCTAAGGACCAAATTAAGAAGAGATATGAAATTGGACCAGACGCTACCTTTCACAGTGCCAGTTTGTTCACCAGGTATTACCATGACTGTTTCTCCTACCTGGATAGTGCCCGCATCAACTCTGCCGGCTACAGAGATTCCTCCTCCACCTCCACTGCTACCTTTGAAGAAATCTGCAACACCCAATCGAAACGGTCTTTCCAAGAGCCTCACTGGAGGTTCCAATGCATCTATTCCGAGAAACAGATCACGTTATGAGCCTGATCAATTATAACTCCAGCAGGTGTATAGCATACCAGAATGCTTTACTAACCAATCTGTTGTACAAGTGTTGTTCCATCGTACCATGTCATAATATCTGGTGACTTCTTTAAAAGATTCTCCCCAGTCATACCGCTGCATGGCACAAATGTGACTTTATTTTTCTTGAATCCAGCTTGACTGAGAAAAGCACTGAGTTTTGTTTTAATTTCTTTAAATCTCTCCTCAGACCAATCAACCTACACAAATATAACATAATTTAAATAAAGCAAAAATTTGTACCTTTACAAGTGCGTGATTACAAGTACACTCACCATATCGAGTTTATTAATGGCGACAACAAGCTGCTGTACGCCCAGACTTCTTACAAGCAGGGTGTGTTCTTTAGTTTGACCATTGGCTTCAAAACCAGCCTCAAATTCGCCCGTAGTCGAATCGACTACAAGTATTGCAACATCTGCCTGATAGAAAGGGTGTCATGATAAGTCAATCACACAGTTTAGGAGAACAATAGGCGTATACCTGTGCGGCCCCAGAAATCATGTTGGGAATAAAATCTCGGTGACCGGGAACATCAAGCAAAGTAAATCGACGGCGTTCTGTTTCGAAACTGGTAACGGCAACGTCCATAGTGATACCTCTACAAATTCGTAGCATGTTTAATCATAGGCTGACTAACGAACCTATTGTCACATGGAATTATTAGTACCTGCTTCTCTCTTCCCCAGTCTCATCGAGAACCCATGCAAACGCGAAAGATGATTTGCCCAATTTTTGCGACTCGTGCTCATATTTTCTCATTGTTCTTTCTTTAACTTCACCCAAAAGATAAAGAAGGTGCCCCATAAGCGTGCTCTTCCCAGCATCAACATGGCCTAAAAACGTGGTCCAAATTTAACAAGACAACAAGAAAACATACTTGTGGCCGATTGAATCATCCGAAACTCACCAACGACAACCAAGTTCAAAGAATCTTTTTCTGCCGTACGCTTTCGATACTCTTCAATTACATTAATTCTCTTCGACGGTTTCAGCGACTCCACAATTGGTGGCTTTGGCAGAGCAGCTGCTTCTTTTACTGAAGGCACACATTATCAATGAGTGGAAATAAATAATAGCAAGAAAAGCATAGCGAGTTTGAAAAACGCATACTTGCGGCAGCGTTGGCTTTTCCTTCTTCACGTGCCTCTATTGTTATATCGTCAAGATTAGGAGTATCTTCAATCACATTAATTCTCTTCGACGGTTTCAGCGACTCCACAGTTGGTGATTTTGGCAGAGTAGCTGCTTCTTTTACTGAAGGCACATATTATCAATGAGTGGAAATAAATAACAGCAAGAAAAGCATAGCGAATTTGAAAAATGCGTACTTGCGGCAGCGTTGGTTTTTCCTTCTTCACGTGCCTCTATTAATTCATCGTCAGGACTAGGCGTATTAAAAGCAAAAGCTTTTCCGTTGCCACCTAACGAGAAAATGTCAATAGTAAGTGCTCCGCATTGTTGTGATTGAGAGTCTTCAAGGTCACCAAAGAGCGACAAGGCGAATACAGATGGCGGAGCTATCAGAGGATTCGAAAATGCTGGTATTGCAGATGGAAATGGTTGTACAAGCGCCGCGGGGGGGGTAGTCGGCTCCGGATGAAATTGAATCGATTCGCGGGCTGATTCGGAGAAGTTTGTTGATGGCGTCGTAGAAGCCAATTTACCACGGGATTGCACTAGTGAGGTAGATTTCCCAGAGGCCAGAGAAAGTAAGGAAGGTTTACTTTGGCCAGCATCTGTCCGAACTATACGTGGCTTTCCGATAGAAGTTACTTTCGGCTTTGGGTGTGTCAATCCAGGAGAATTTGTACTATTGAATGCACTTTTTCCAATCGCAACAGTAGTCGCCGATGTTTCCGCTGGTTGAGACAATGAGCTCTGTACCGATGATGATCCCTGTGCTTTTCTTTTTGCAATAAGGCTTGTCAATGAGGTTCTCGGGCCTGCTCGATCGATACTAGCTTGTGCTAAGCTCGCAAGGGACTGGCCTCTGTTCGAAGAATCGTTAGTACTCGAACGTAAAGAACGACGTGTTGATGTCGATGTATTGGTAGTACTCGAGTTAATAGCATTCGAATGAATACTTGAATCTCCGCGTGGTGATGACAAATTGCGTGATGAAGATAATTGAGCCCGAAGTTGTGCGAAACCTGACTGGGTTGATCGTGAGTTATTGGTGTCTGCTCCGCCTAGTAATCCAGTTAATCGCAATCGTCCATCCGGAATTTTAGGAGGCAACAATTCATTCTTTCCACTGCAGCTCCACTTTATGTCGTACCACGACCAAAAGTCCTGAGGCACTAATATGCTTTGCGAAGCTGCTGTAGGCTTTTTAAAATAACTCTGAGTCGATAGCAAATCCAAAGTTTCGCCTAACGGAGATTAAGAAGTAAAAAAGAAAAGTGCACAATGATCAGTTACAAAACAAGCAAACGAGCTTGTAATATCTCATTTTGACAGATACTCCTAGAGCTCCAAAACTCATCGCCATAGATTGCGTCGATTCATTTGCATACATACGCTTCTCAACCATGGATATGGGACCGTTTTCACACTCCCTCTTATCAATCCTCATGACATCACAACTGAAGCTCTGCCATCCATTCGCTCAATATATATATACGAAGACAAAGACATAACCGCAAAATTCGCTTGTTTGCTTTGATAATTCAAATTTGCCTTGAGGAGGAAAAAAAATTATATAATAGTACCTATGTTTATTCGGGATGATTTTGATTGCGTCTGATCTACAGCAGGTTTTCTTTGTGGTGTTGGCGATTGCTTTGGTTTTTGATCTGGTGGTTTTTTTATTTTGGCTAAATCACACGTAAATTGACCGAGAAATCATATTAATCATCTGTTAAAGTAAAGCTTCTAATGGGTATCTAGCCAACATCTTGACACATACCTGATAAGCGACGTATTGTCTCGTCGATATCATAGTAGGTATCCCATAAAATGTCTTTGATCGCCTTATCAGTTATCCCAGGTGGAGCGCCTATCAATTCTTTTACTTTGCGCAAGTTTGATTCCAGTAAAACTATATAAAAGAGAACGACGGATGAGCATGTACACACAACCAGCCTAGATATAGCACGAAATCATCGGAACCGGACGCTAATGTTTGAATTACCTTCATCATTTTGATCCGTGCCATCATCGTCCGAATATTCTAACATTTGCATAAAAAACCACATATGTTATTGAAACCTCAAGCGACATTCAGCAACCATAATTCCCGAGTATATATGCATATGCATATATGTACTCGGTTTTCACTCATACCACCAAGCCAGTCGTCGTAGATATCTACAATGAGATCTTTGATTAGTGCGAGTCTCTACCGTCTATTACACTGCATTTTTCCGTTCTCACCTTCTACGTTAAGGTTTCTAATGCTTCTGTGACGAGCCATAATTTCCAACTGCGGAGAATGTTGTTACTTAGCTGCATCAGAATTTTCTCGAAATAGAGTACCAATGATCCGACAATTCGGTAATCAAAATTTTTTCAACTCAACAGATCGACTTCCTGTATTATTTTTTTCCCCTTTCTGATAATTTAAACTTGGAAGACAATGGGAAAAGATCGGACTGCGAAAAAAACCAAAGGACGTCATGAACCGCTCTATGTACAGATGGAGGAGGATGGACGGCTATCGAAAAAACCCCCAAAAGCAAAGTTTCAAGCCAAGAAACAGATAAAAACTGATGATGTAAGGATACGTGGTGGAATGTGTGACATTGATTATAACAATCCTTTAACGAGTTTTCGTTTTTATCTAGGAATACATTGACCCAAAACTATCACGTAAAATTTTACAAATAGCACGCGTACAACAGGAGGAGCTAGAAACTGAAGACAGATCAGATAATCTCCCTACGGAAAGATTTGTCTCAGCAGATTTAAAAGATGAAGACAGCGAGGAAGACTTTTCAGAAGATGAGGATATCGAATATGAGGATTTGGTAAGTAAGCAAGCACTTAATTAATTTGTACAGATTATGCTGTTTAATAACGATCCATTTGCAATGATTAGGAAGTGGAAGAAGAGGATCAAGAGATTCTAAATAAATTTCTCCCGAGTGCACCGATAGAACGACGGACATTGGCAGATATAATAATGGAGAAAATCGAGGCATATGATAGGGAGAAACAACAAGCATCTAAGGGTGAAATCACAACACCTCCTGGGCTAAGTCCGAAAATAATTGAAGTTTATTCAAAGTATGTTGGAGCGTAAAATTCTCCAAGACTCTGATAAATCCTACGACTAATCGGGAATCTAATCTCGCGGTCTTTAATATTATGTGCATTAGAGTCGGGACTCTTCTGAAGAGATACAAATCAGGCAAACTACCAAAAGCCTTTAAAATTATCCCATCGTTAAGTAATTGGGAAGAAATATTATATCTCACACGTCCCCAAGAATGGACACCTCACGCGACATATGCGGCAACTAGGATATTTGTGTCTAATCTAAAACCAAAACCATGTCAAAGGTAAACGTCTGACTAAGCATTCGGATAGGTTACATAAAGAATGATCATGATATTTTCACCAGACTGCTTAATCGGCCGTATTCCTCCTTAAGATTTTTAGACCTGGTTCTCCTTGATAAAGTGCGAGACGATATTCAAGACACTAAGAAGCTCAACTACCATCTTTATATGGCATTGAAGAAATCTTTATACAAACCAGCAGCATTTTTCAAAGGGATTTTATTTCCATTATGTAAAGTAAGCTCACCTCCCAAGTAATTAAATTCTAAACCTTTTACCTTTTTAGTCACAAATTAATTCCATTCTTCCCAATATAGTCAGGTACATGCACATTACGAGAGGCGGCCATAATTGGGAGTGTTATTTCCAAAGTGAGCATTCCTGTCCTTCATTCATCCGCGGCCCTTTTGAACTTGGCAGAGATGGACTATACCGGTCCAAACAGTTTATTTATTCGCATTCTCTTGGATAAGAAATATGCGTTACCGTATAAAGTGGTAGATGCGCTGGTATATCATTTTATGAGATTTAAAAATGATGAGAGAACCATGCCAGTACTATGGCATCAATCATTTTTAGTGTTTGCGCAACGGTAAGTGGCAAAGTGAAACTTTGGGTTAGATGTACGCGATATGGTCTAAAGTTTTTTTGATTGTGGGTGAAGATGTTATCCTAACGGTTTGCCTCATTAATACTTTGCAGATATAAGCAAGACTTGACCCCAGATCAAAAAGATGCACTCCTGGAAGTGCTTAAATACAAATGTCACGATCAAATAACACCCGAAATTCGCCGCGAGATAGTTCACTCGGTTGCTAGAGGGGAGATAATCCCAGAAGTGGAGATGGCGGATGTTTGAGGACGGCGTAACAAATCACGAACGAGAGGTGTTGATTAATGTGATTATCAACGTGCGAATGTATTGGGGGAAACTCTTATTCAGCGAGGCGTGTTGTATACTAAAACGCACGATCTTTAGTGGAAATCTAAATTATTAATGATGCCCTGTTACAAGGAGGTGGATGTATGATATAGTCAACAATATGCTATTTAATAGAATTACCACGAATAAAATCAAAGTCTTTCAGGGCTTTTTACCGTCGACATTGTCGTCTTATGACTCTAATGCTTGTCCTACTGTGATCTAGAATAATTGCAATTTTACTGCGGTTGTGTTTTATTAGGTATCAAAAATCACGTGTTGATCGTCCCGTCGAGAAAATTTTTAAGATTGAAGAAAAAGAAAACCCAACATTCTTTCAATTTGATTGAGCATTGCCGATAGTCCAAATGGTAAGATTCATACGAAACAACCGAGCACGCTGTTAGTGTAGCTGTCGCGTGATTAATAGTCATGTATAATAAGTTAACTATACGGCGATCTCTGGAATTGCATCGAGCGTGGTGTTTAGTTAGTACACGCAGACGTAATCCATAGAAGTGATAGATACCCTTGGAGAAAATTTACAAAGAGAGAATATAATAATTAAGTCTGTAAACTTTGAATTGAGACAGATGCTATTTTTGGAGGGTTGAGCGTAGGACTTGGAGGGTGTGCACTTAGATTTAATCATAAGTCAACTTAATCCAATCATTAATATTTTCTTCTCTTTTTCGTAACTAGGCCAAACGAACAAAGAAGGTGAGTAACAGCTTCAAGCGTTCCTCAGTTGTCACTGTATCAGCCGTTTGTAGTCTAAAATCCGGGTCTGGTCGCTTAAGGTCGGAGTAGTCGGTAAATACGGCACTCGATATGGTGCATCACTAAGAAAGCAGATAAAAAAAATGGAAATCACCCAACATCAGAAATATACTTGCACATTCTGCGGTAAAGATACAGTTAAAAGAAAGGCTGTCGGCATCTGGGAGTGCAAAGCTTGTAGAAAAGTGCTTGCTGGTGGTGCTTGGACCGTTTCGTAAGTGATTGGTATCGTAGTCTGATATGAAATTGTCCACTAAGTGTTAAAGCTTTCGAATATTTGGTGCGTTTTTATAGTACCACCGCGGCCGCCACTGTCAGATCAACGATCAGACGTTTACGTGAATTGGCTGAATCTTAATATCTTATTAAATGTGCTTTAATAAATGAGTCAATTCGATTCATTGCAGAGTTTCTTATTCTATGGGTATTCTTTTCGACTGTTTCATTTGGTCTGATTATGTCTGTAGTAGACATTTGCCTCTTAAAAATCTATCAAAAGGATTGTACTTTTTACACTAGTTTCCGTGCTATGCGTTGAAGGTATGGTAAGGTATCTGTTCTTTCAGACATCTTGCTTTGAAATTGTCCCATACCCATCTAATGATATTGAAAGTTGTATCCGTAAGCATAGGTTAATTTACGGCGATTTGACATAGACGGAGCGTTTTAGTCATTATAATGGAATCATTAACTGGAGAGGCGAATGCATTATCAATACGAATTACAAAAAGCAGCGATTTTGAGAATTAATATTAGTGTAGAATCCTACGTATCTTTATCTCCTTTGTTAATTGCATTTACGTCGTATTATTATATTTTTTAGTAATATTTGCCATAAGAAGTACGATAGATTGACTTAAATGACATTTCCTATGACAATTCGTTATTATTATACGTGTACAAGCAGAAAGATAAAACGGAGGACTATATAGTTGTAGTATTCAACAATTGCCCACTGATAGAATGCGGATAATTGTAGCAAACTCATCGATTCATACACCACAGCCGTTACGTAATATTAATGTTTGCGCCTTAGATGAGCAGATCGCGCTATTTGCAAGCACGTTTACACAAACGCGTAAAATTTAATTTTAATGAGAGATTATATCTATATTAATATAGAGTTGGCCTAATTTTGTTACGTGTGCTACAATCGATCTTATTATTATGTCAACCGCGTCCATGACAAACTCTGCATTTATTGTTCTTCACTATATCAAATGCTAATTACTCTAACGTGTACCTGGGAGGAATTCCATTCCAAGTGGGGAAATACAGATACCGCGTTTGCTCCCGTTCTTTAATTCGTGGACTACCGGTGGGATCACTATTGATTCGGAACTTAAAACCAGGAACAGGGCAAGCGAAAAGGCACTAGCAACGTGATTTGAAGGTCAGTATTACGAAACAGCAAATGTACACCACGACATGCATACTTTGCTTTATAGTGTGGTGTGTTACGCCCTGCGCTGCTGGTGTGGGGAAGAAGAGTGTCTGGTCTTTACATCACTGCAGCGTGCATATTTTGCTTTTTCGTGGGAGCTGTACCCTACGACCGCTGGTCGAATTGAGGTCAAATTTTGGCCGAGGTGGGGGGAAGCGAGTCACAATCTAGCATATACTCGTTGTGACTTGTGCTGTTCCCTACTGGATTAGCAAATTTTTTGCTAATCTTTTTTTTCACTTTCGTTTATTAATATTACAGAAAAATTGGAAACATCTTGAAGGTCCACCTTCTTATGATACGATACAATTACACAACATCAGACGAGGACTCTGATCCAACCGTTGAAGAACTAACATCTGATCCACATATTGCCACATTACTCCTACCATATAGAAGAGTTCTTGAAGAAATGAGGAATCATCACGTAGAACAAGAATCACAACGAGGCCGACACTCAAATAAATACTTCATATCTGCAAAACAATTCATATATCTATTTATTGTCAATATATATTTCATATTTTTCATGGAAGATTTCAATTTTTCTGCGCTGTAAAATATAATATTGATATTAGTTTCTCGATACTATATATAATGAAATTTAATAAAGCATATTCCTACAGGAAGCTTGGAGTCGTATTAAATGACGGAAAAAGAAGCCAGTTCAGTAAATCCATTGGTCGAATCCTTTTAAGACATGGGGTTAATATTAATAGATATCAAAAAATTAAAATACCAGAGGCGAAGTTGGCCACTTGAAAATTTATCACACATATATAATATAGACATGACCGATCATGAGGAGATCAATCGCCGGGTTAAGAAAGAGGTTGATGTTTTATTTCGGCGATTATTGGAATATAATGAAAAAACTTTTGGCAAATTTATGCGAGAAATTACTATTACTATAGAACATGAGGAGCGGGTCATAAGAAATTGCGATATGAAGCTGAAAAATATCTTGAATATCTGAAACCATGTTCTACCCATTAGAAAGATCAAGTGCTTGGTCCCATCCCTTGCGAAGATATAGAGGGTCTTCTTTTGCTCTAGTTAAATCAATATCAATAAATTCCCTACCTTGTAAATTTTTATAACATTACGCCAATTTTTTTGTATATTGATATCGTCTGGCAATATTAACCAGCTCATCTTATGTACTAGTACCTGACCCATTAAATAAACATGTAATCAAAATTTTTTCTTATGTTTTCAGGAATGATTGCGTAACATATATGGAGCTAATATTGGAGTGGCGTCCTTTAGTAAAGTAGACAATTTTATCTTGACTCATTGCATATATCTTCGAATATAGCAACTGTTCCTCTTTCAGGAAAGAATTCTTCTATCTTTGGTATTTTACTATTATCAGGTTTTAATAGCATATTTCGGTGATGTCCAATCAAAACCAAATCATCATTTTTAATATAACGTGTTCCACTTTTCTTTCCACTAAACATTCGAAACATCTTATCCCCAAGCAAAAGACTAATAATCATATTTGTTTTCCCCGATCTAGTTCGCCCTGAGACTAACAAGTTGAAAGGCCACTGAGGAGATGAGTTAATACCGTTAAAACGCTCTGGATTTTGTATGATTAAGTACGAATATTTCACATGGATCGAGCTTTTCCGTTTTCATCCTAATCAAGATAATAATAAGTAACGCTAAATTATTATATCGATCTTACGAATTTATTCTTTATGCAATAAATAACCCCTTTCTTGCAATTCACTTTTCATATAAGGTAGTAAATCACAATCATATGGTATAATAATCCATATAATGCCTTCTCTTTTACTCCCGCTTTTTTTGATCACGTTTCCTTTGTGCATCTAGGTCAGCCTCGCCATAGTGCTTATCGGCAACATAATAGTGCTGGACCCCGTTATACTCCCATGCCAATTTTAGTTCTTCATTATATCCATCAAGTCTAAGAACTTTGGTGCACATGGTGGAAATTTCTTACCGAGTGTATCGATGTTCACCGGTTATATGATGGCATAATAATAAGGGCACCACTCAAATTTCCGCTTCAAGCACCTCCCATTGCAGTCCATTCTCGCAAGATCAGAGATATACACTCAGGCCCCGTTCTCATAATACAATTTCCACCTCGCTTCTTCGCATATTGTCAAATTCGTTATTAGAAATACGAATAAAGTGAACTAATCCAGTACGTTGATTTTCTGATAATATACTTTGGGGTGGAAGTTGAAGTGTATCAATATTCACGTATAAGAGCTCTTCTCACAAATTCCCTAGAAGGAGCATATTCATCATCACTTCCGAGATAATATAAGACTGGCTCATTTTTCGGTACTACTATTTTTATGATTGGATGAATAGAAGGGCTGAATATGGGTCTGTCGCTCGACGTGTTGTTTCCAGACCGCCTTCCCATTCCGCATTAGCGAGAAGATAACGAACCGTATCACCTTTCTTCAATTTTTCCTCGTCCTTTCCAATAGGTCGCTTTCGTGATATTGATGGTTTAGATTCGACCTTTTCCAACTTGATTGCTTTTATTGGTGCTAATCCCCACTTGAGGACCCAGAAGCTCTAATGAGGCGCGTAGGGTAATTATTAAGATAATCTATTACTTTGGGTAAATGCTTAACCCAGGCTCTCATTAATTTAGGGTCTGTTGATGCTTGACTTGGGTATGTGTCTATAAACAATCTCGTGCTTGTTCGACACTATTTTCAAACGTTTATGCATTTATTCTTGCTTGTAGCTTCGAAGCCAACCACGCCAATAGCACCCAAGACGCGATCGTTATTTACCTTCTATCAATATCTGAAAGAACGCATTGAGAAATTGGTCGTAATCGATCAAACTTCTCGGCTAATATCACCGGAGAGCTGGAAACTCCAAATTTTGTTCGAGCATGGTTTGATAAACGGTATAGTTTACTTCATCGTCATCTAGCGAAGAGATTGAGCGTGACCTATCGTCATGTCTGCATAAAAACTCCAAGACATTGGAACTTCTTCTCTCTCCTATGGTTAGCTCCAATTGCTTAAATCCATGTGAATTTCATCGTCGGACGTGCTAATGATGTTAAACAATACCTGCTATGACTAGGAACTATCCGACTTGCAACTGACATTACGGGCAATGACAAACAAGCTACAACCCAGTCTCATTCAGTTTATGCATCACAACAATATCGCCCGGCGATCTGTATAATACGTTCTATGTACGAAAGATCGTTCTAGTAACAGTAGGTAAGATTATTCTCTCGACTTTTATTTATGCCCATGGATTATTCACAAATGCTCTTCAACCAATCTATCCTTGATTCCCTTTGAGAGCTCTCGACTTCACCGAAACATTCAGGCATTGATACAAGTATTCTATCATTTTGAAAGTTCTTTTCCGTGTACCCAATCCAATCATTAATTATACCTTGGTCAGCTCTAGTATAGACTGCTCTTGCTATTACGATTCTGAAACTTTCGTCATTCTGGTTGGTACGCTTTCTCCAGAATATGAAACCAGATAAATGATGTATAACCATCCAATACAAGAACGGTGTTGAAGCTTTGGATATTTTGAAGTTAACTAACGCTCGTACAAAATTCTCTAGTACAGCCCTGTTAGTTTCTATAGGCCAGAAATAAGCATGGAATCCTTGAATAGAAGATTCGCCTATGCATATGACTTCTTCGTATGTCACTGAGATGGTCCCCAGCACATCATATAATTCACTCCATACGAGCATCTTGTACTCTACAGAATATAACCCACTTAGCGGAGTCAATACCAGACGAGCAAATTGTCTGTGTCCAAGTGATTCGGCAGCATACGCGGCAGTAAAATCAGTGAACAGTTGATAAAATGGAATACGCAAGACAGACTCTGCCGCAGTTTCTAAGAAAGTAGTGGTTGACGAACTATAATCAATTGTCTCGTTATCCTTGAGAATATAATAATTCAAGATTTTTTCGATCCATAGTTCAACTGACGAATTCCGATATACTTCCCCCTCTATTAGAAATATTTTCATCAATGATATCACCGTTATGGCTGGATTAATGGGCATGTCCACAATATCCTGATGCAGATCATATAAACCCAAAACTTGCCATGCAAGTGTTAGACAATGTTGAATTGTATCTTTCTTCACATCATCATCAACAACAATATCAGCTTTAGAGTAAAACTCATCTATCGGAATGAATATCCAACCCTTTGACAGAGGTAGCCCATTATGTTTAGCATCTAGACTAATTAAAAAGTGTTGCTGGTTGAAATAATTACTGCTATCTTCTGATGGGTTACCATTAATGATCCGGTTTCTATAGAAAGGCCAGAGCTTCTGGCATTCTTGGAAATCTAAATCCAACAATTGAGTTGATTTAGCCAAGGCGTCGAACATCTGCTCTACAGTTGTTAAAGCAATCTGTTCATCTCCCGGTAGAACATGTGGCACCAACGCAAAAGCGTTCAGTGCGATCATCTGCAAATATTTGCCTCTGGTATCATCCAAATGCACATGATTATTATCGACAATAAGCTTCAAACAACAGATCCATTCATGATGTAAATAAGTTTTCCATCGACCAAAGAAATCATACCAACGCCCACTGGGCGTATAAGTTAGAGAGCATTGTAATAAATTTAAAATCTCATTCCTAGTAAGAATGTTTAGAGTCGACGAATAAATCTGTGCATCTTCGGGGAATAACTGAAGAATACAGCGTATTAACGATAATCGAGTGAAAAGAGCATCGCAAGCGGTTGAGATTGAAAGAATGTACCGCACGCTCTTTAATCTGTTTGGATTATAGACTCCGGGCAAATTAGGTAATTCCCATGATTCTATGTTAAGCAGCGCACTCGACGATAGAAGGTTGCGCAGTCGCGTAATAATAACTTCTTGTAGATTTGTTGGTTTCTCTTCTCCTAAAGCCAAATATTCCCACATTCTCTTTATTTTGCTCATATCTGTAACATTATAATTACTCAAATATTGGCTCCATGCAGCTAAATATCCAGTAGTGCGTGAAATCAAAACAAATGATTTTTCGACATAGCTGGTATTAACATCATCCATAACTGACGCGTTCATATCTGGAGCAGATGCTGTCCATCTCTGTAATAACTCGATTGCATCGTGCACAAATTCACTAGGACGAGCACCGACTTGATTATTATCTTTATCAGAATCCGACCGCTGCATCAACGTCTCCATTAATGAAAAAAAGGCTATGGCAATATCTAATTTACGTTGCATTATGCTATCGTCATCAGATGTTTCCCATTCCCAAAACATTTTCAGTGAATAAACAGTACTCATGATCCAACCTCTAAGAATTGTATATGCTTCAGATAAAATACTGCGATATAGTCCGTGGGCAGCAAGGCACCGGTATGTCATAAGAACTTCCTTAACAATCTCATATCCAATAAGCCTTTCAAAATCAGTCGATAATGAAGATGGATCCACTACTAAATACCTCAACAAAGTTTCCACGTAATTATTTTCAATAAGATCACGACTTATCCTAATCGATGCCGTACACAATGTTTGCCAGAGTCTGATGGCCAGTATAGTCATGTATCCTGTTATATTCATCTCTTCAAAATTGGTCAATGGCCATGATATGCTGATATATTTTCGATGGAGAATCTCTAGGAGGCCATGACAGTCGGCGATTGCTTCGGCCGCATCAACCGAATGTCGAGTAAATCGCAACAAAATTTGCAACATTTGCTTCTCAGCGATCAAAGGCAAATTCTCGGCCCTTAATAGATACTGAAAACGTAGTTGAATGCCCATAGCTAATAGTCCAGCGACTAGATCCCTTGACGTTAGGTTAATATGATGTTCTGTGCTTTCGCCATCATCATCATCATCGTTTACTCCAAAACCATTCATTGATAATTCCATACCGAACTGCTTCATAACATGTGATTGCTTCCGAGGTTGTAGACATATACTTTGATAACCACGATGCAAACTATCAGAACGATCCCAGATATGTTCTTCTTCAGTGAATTCTTTATTATCACCGATTACCCATGCTGCTAGGGCATCAATGGCTGCAACTAGCACAGTCTCGAATGTATCGTCTAAAGCAGTTCTCAAATACAAAAACGCTTTCATTTTAATCATCCAGGAACTGATATCACGACTAACATTGTCACCATAGTGATTATTTCGAACCTTACGGAGAATCCTGGACACAACATTCAATGGAATCACTCGTTGACTTGGTACTTGGCTCCTCATCAAATGAAACATTTCTGCAAGAGTATATCCTGGTTGATCAGGATCGTCACCATGATGATGAAGACCCACAAAAACAGGCACTTCAGCGTTCTTTTCGACAAGGTTACCTCTGAAATCAAATCTAAATGAAGCAGCTGGAGGGTCTGCCGCAGTAGCTACATGCGGGCGAACTTTCTCATCATAACGTAAAGAAGAAGAAGATTTTGCGCCTGTGTTAGTTACGCCCATCCATTCTAGTTTGTCCAATTCGGCTGGAATGTCTGAAAAATACTTTTCCTTCATTGCTAACGGCATTGAATCATCTTCTTGATCAATTTCCATCGCAACATCATCTGAATGTCTTGTGGCTTTGGGACGCTTAGACGATAGTCTTTTTAAGACTTCTGGTGAAAGTGTTTGTCGAAGCATTGCTTGCGCTTCAAGAATTTCATCCAAAGACATATTTTCCAGTCTTTGTAAATTTTCTTGATGTATTTCTTCATAGACGGATTGAGGAAATTGCTGCCCCTCATAGGAAGATTGAAGCGTGTGATCATGGTTCTCTCCTGCAACTTGACTTTCCAGATTGATTTCATTTCTCTTTTTTCGAAATCGGCTTCGGTGAGTGGGTTCAGGGAAGCCACCTTTAAAAGAGCCAGCCGTCGAAGATGACGGGGGCAGAACAACGCCAGTAGCGGTTCTTTCGATCACTGCGCCTATAATGTTTGTAGTGAGGGGCGAACTCTGGACGTCTTCTTCAGGCTCTTTGTTACCCTCATTATTATCAATTATAGCTTGTTGTACGACTGGTGGCTTACTCTGTTTGATTACTCTTGCCGCCGGTGACTCTTTGTTCCGAAAGAATTCTTCTTGGAGCTTTAGTAACTCTTCGTCCGTCTCTACAGTTAACGCGTCGTTTGGGCGAATCATAGCCAGTTTGACGATCGACGATGCAGTTGATAACGAAAATGTTTATCATGTTTTTGTGGCGGGTGTGGCGAATGTGTAACGAGGCACAGTTATGACGGTAGTACAATGATTTCATAAATAATGCTAATAATAATAATACTATTATCGATTAAGTGTGATGAATGCATTTTAAATAAACCCTACGGACTTCCGAATTAATCCCACGGAAAAAAATAGACGGGCGATATAGCAAACAGTGTTTACAGACGTGTGAGTAGGGATGTTTAGTTTTTAGTCATAGAGAAGAAAGTTGCAGTACGGCATTCTGGGTTTTGTATTCCAATCGCTCAGACACTTGAACAACTGTCTAGAATGTCATTAAGGCTTATAAAGATCAAGGAAGCAATTAAAACAAACTCAAACCGAGAATGAAAACTTAAAATTGATAAAGAAAGTCATAAAATGTCTTCCCAAAAAGCCGAAGCCATTGCTAAACAGAAAAAGCAGAAAGCAATTGTTAAGCCTTCTCCTCGAAAGGGAAGACAGAAAATAATGTCAGGAAGAAACAAACGCGCTTTACTGGGAATGATCAAAAACGATAGGAAAATGACGCTTTCAGGTAGAATTCTCAATTTATGTCAAGTTACATTAAACTAATTTGCTAACTTTCTACTTGCACCTTCAAATATCATTATTAGAAATTAAGAATAGTTTTGCTGATTCAACTTCAATGGTTGTTTCTGAAAAAACTATTAAAAGGGAACTCCATCAATCTGGCTACTTTTGTCATATGGGTACTAGAAAACCTTATGTGAATGAAAAAAAAAAAAAAAAAAAAAAAAAAAAAAAAAAAAAGATTGGATTGGATTGGGCTAAGGAGAAGAAAAAATTATATGGAGTGACGAATCATATTTTCGCGACAATCGACGGAAAAGTTTAATGTAGATTGTCTTATTCCAACGCACAGATCAGGACAAGATGGAATACACGTAATGGTATGGGGTTGCTTCCACAGACGGACTTGGTCCATTAGTGAGATTGGATGGGAGAGTTACTTCTAGAGATTATATTAATCTCTTGCAAGATAAACTTTTACCGTATTTGGATACTCTTGAAGATAAGGAAATTTTTATTTTTCAAGAGGATAATGCTCCCATTCACACATCAAGATTAAGTAATGAATGGAAGAATCTAACTAGCCTTCGTTGGCCACCTCAAAGCCCTGATCTAAATCCCATTGAACATTTATGGGATGTAAGATTAGGGTACACCAAAAAGATAAGGAGGAGCTTTGACAAATATTGCAAGAAGAATGGTTACGAATAGATAATAACATAATTCAGTCTCTAGTCGATAGTATGCCCAAACGAGCTGCAGCTGTAATAGAAAGTAAGGGTATCCCACTAAATATTAATAAAATTGGATACTGTCATATAATATAGCTGCTCATTCAATGAAATCGAAACCAAATCGTCTCACATTTTAAATTTACATATTTAAAAATATGACAATTGTTTTTACTTAATGATGCAGGACACATTGCTTCTTTGAGTTACATTATAACGAAAGTTTTAACGTAAATTTCCGAAAATCTTTATCTTTGACATAAGCCTTTGTTTTTCACTCAATATTTATACAAAGTTGCTCAAAGTTGTAAACGTATGCACGTAGATATCGTGAATAAGTACTTATTGCACCGTGGCCGGTTGTATTAGTGTAAACTTAAAAAATTTAGTTTACATATGGGCTACTTTGCGATCGGCGAAATTTCTGTCCGGGCACTGTACATAATATTTCGCCGAGTAAAAATCCGCCCAGCTACGCAACATTGATGAAAACGAGGTCAGTGCGATCTTATGTATGTCGTTGCCAGTATAAAAGACTTAATTATACAAACTATGGGCGTCCAAAATGGTTTCATTCCTATACCAAACCGCTGCCATACGGGCCAAGTTGTTCCATTTATTATAATTCGGTGAATTACTTCACGAACAATTACAACCTGCGTGCGGAAATTTATGAGATCAGTTTCCTTTGGCGTTTATTGAAACGACTTATCAGTTAGCTTTAATGTCGAAGATATTGTTATTCTAGACGGTTGGAACTACTGTAAAGCAGTGTTTTTGTTGGACTATGCCTACAAAGTAAAAGGCTTGTGCCATAAAAAAATTCTGAGCTTTTGTTAAACGTTGTTGCTGCATACATAACGGCAAAAAAAACTTTACGTTAACTCGATTCATTTTAATCTGTCACAGTGATTGTTTATCATGTAACGGGATTCGTCGATGTGCCAGAAACAGATAATCACCATCATGGATAGCTTTCACATCAAGCTTGCGGGAGAGTTGTATTGATTGTAAATTTGTTGTAAACGTTTGCACACGCGTAAATTTGTCTTTCTTGACACTGATTATGCATTGATTTCACAGTGTAATATAGCTTTATACTGTGTTTTTGTTCAAACGTAGACACGCAAGCCAATATACCATTCTTTACGCACTGGAAAAACGTAGGGTCACCTTTGATATAATAAATTTTCAGGTACCGATCAGACTTCGTGTAGAAGTTGTTTGTAGATACAAATTAGTAAGAACAAAGATGAACTTTCTCGTGTTACTACAGCCAACAGTATTTGCATTACACGATAAGTTTAATTGCTGATTTGATTAAAATTTGGGGTAAATAATATTCGAAAGTTTGCTAGCAGGCTGGGCTTATTCCTGGTGAACCCCTTACCGGTAATTCTATCGACGAATCGTTATTAATTGAATGTTACCATTCAGTTGGGAAGAACAATAGTGTTCCCTGTTGGATTTAATGTAAATCACGTGAACGTACTTCGATTGTTAGTTTACGAAAAAGAAAGCACAATAATGCTGATAATGACACCAACAAACCTAAATTTGACGTTCGTAGTGATACGAGTAGTGTAGATTGAACGAGAACCTTCCAGCAAACACAAACATACCCCTAAAAACAATGGCCAATATAAGTCGGAAAATAATTTGTCCGACCGACATGGTCTTCGACAACTGACTATATAATAATAACTCCGAACTTTTTTTTCTAACCTTGTCAATTTTTTTCTAACCTTGTCAATTTTTTCTTTACCTCTATATTGTTCCCTGTCTATAAATTAGGCCTGGCAAACATTTATCTGGACTTCATCCTGACCATATAATAAAAATAAAGAAATAGTAAATATGGTAAAAGACACAAAGCTTTATGACACTCTGGAGCTGCAACCGGATGCATCAGAGAACGAGATCAAAAAAGCATACAGAAAACTCGCTCTCAAATACCATCCTGATAAGGTAGTTACATATAAGTATGCTCACTTTCAAATAATATTAGTTGGAGGGAGTATATAGCTATATAAGCTTTATCAGTGACTGAAGTTCCATTACCGGAGGCTGGTAGGAATTGTTGGAAATATGCTACTTTACATAGTTCTCCGTGAGGCAATGGACAAGTTGATCCAAACTTTAGCACGTCGATATAAGCGCGTATGTCCTAAGCTGTCATTTGTTGATTTTCTCATTCCTTCACTATATATATATCTATATATAGAATCCAGACACGGGAGAGAAGTTCAAAGAAATCGCTCATGCATTTGAGATTTTAAGTGATGAGCAGAAGCGTGCTGCTTACGATCGCTATGGCGAAGAGGGAGTGTCCGAGACCGGTATGGGCATGTCAGCCGAAGATATTTTCAGCTCATTCTTCGGTGGCAGCATGTTTGGTCGTCCTGGAGCTGGGCGACCAAGCGGTCCGCGTAAGAGCAAACCACTTCAACACATGCTCAAAGTATCTCTGGAAGAGTTGTATACCGGTAAAACAACAAAACTATCCCTTAATAAAAATGTCAAGTGCTCCAAGTGTCAAGGTCGAGGGGGAAAGGAGGGGGCTGTTAAGACTTGCCAGACCTGTAGTGGCACTGGTGTAAGATTAATTGTTCGTCATCTGGGTCCATCAATGATACAACAAATTCAGCAGCCGTGTAATGAATGCAGTGGTTCGGGTCAAGTTATCAAGGAGAAAGATAAATGTACTACTTGCAAAGGCAAAAAGTTTGTAGCTGAGCGCAAAGTTCTCGAAGTGCATATCGGCAAAGGGATGAAAAACCATCAGAAGATTGTATTTGCTGGAGAAGCTGATTACCAACCTGGATACGAAGAGCCCGGTGATGTTATTATTATTCTTGAAGAGAAAACTCATGATCGTTTCACTAGACGAGGAGATGACTTGTTCTATTCTGCTAAAGTTGACCTGTTGACTGCATTGGCCGGTGGAAACTTGTATATCAAACATTTGGATGATAGATATGTAAAGGTCTCAATAACGCCTGGTGAATCAATTAAGCCCGGTACGTAACCATGATACAACGTTTATTATGTTAAATAGATGCGATTTTAGACAAATCTAACGGATGTTGTTTTGTTATCTTTATCAATTCAATGTTCCATCCGAACATTGTTGACGTTTACTATTTATAGGAGATATGAAAGCTATTAAGGGCCAGGGTATGCCTTCTTTTCGCCACCACAACTATGGTAACATGTACGTTCAATTCAACATTGAATTCCCTTCTCCTAATTGGGCTGACTCTGCAACGATTACTATGCTTGAGAATATTCTTCCGCCGCGTCAGGCTGCACCTCCAAAGGCAGATGAGACCAATGTCGAAGAGGCAGACTTTACCACATTAGAGCCAGCTGAGAAGACAAGACTCGAGCAGAATATGATCAATGGTGTGCCAGATGATGATGATGACGATGATGAAGGTGGACGAGGAGGAGTACAGTGTGCTCAGCAATAAGGCGGCTGTTGAAAGTGATGGGGAATGGACATTTTCCTACATTTCGTTACTCGAGCTCTCAACTAATGACTTCTAGATTTCGTTTCTTTTTCATATTACGTAATTTGTAGCTTAGCGTATTATCGACACAAATAGAGCGAGCCATAAGTATATAACTGTTAGCAATAATTTTCTCACAACTTCCATCAAAATCACGACGTACGAATAAATGTTTCTCTCTCTCCGTTGGTACGAAAGGGCTGATGCGAATGTAAAGTTCACGGATTACGTGTTGATTTTTATGGCTCAAAATCACATATGATTGACATTAAAACAATAAGTAAAAATGCTTGACAAAATTTTTTACTGTAAATATCAATATATTTTTGGGAGTTCATTGAAGCATTTATATCTGTGGTGAATATTGTGGAGGTGGGTGGTACTGTTGGTTGGGATTGATTGAAAGAATAAGTGATGACCCAAAACACACAAGTCGTCTTGCCAAGTCATTCTTGCGGGAGGATGTTCCAGAATTTATGGATTGGTCGTCCAACAGTCCAGACATAAACCCGATAGAAAGTTTTTATTCCCGAGGACACTATTGAGTCGATTAATAGTAGGCATTACTACTATTGCCTGCATGAGAATTATAATTAGTCTTCATGTAACGTTTGCGACAGCTGTCTTGTATAATTAATTTCGATTGTCTTTTTGCCAATAGCTTACCGAAGGCCTTACGAATACTCCGTGCTTTTCTCTACATTCAAAATATCTTTTGCCCATGACTGAACCGTCGTTCTTCCCATTCGGTTCATCTAACTCGACACCAACCCATTTGCCAGAAGAGAAGCCTGTAACCCCTATAAAACGTATGACACCCCAACTTCCATTAATCTCGCATCTTGCCCCTACTTGTAAATTAGTTGAAGCCATATATCTCTGTGAACGAAGAGAATGAGATACTTAGAAACAAGCCTTGATTATAACAAAATGATAGTCCGCAGTGCAGGTGCACAGACTGTTGCCATTGTGGACATTTTGTCATAATATAATAAAGAAAAATAATTTTTAATAATAAATACATTCCTAAATAAACGACGTATGACGTCTCAGTTGAAACATTGCCACCCAGAGGTAAAGGACTCATTACAGTTCCACAATTTCGACATCGGACCCTCCTATTTTTTGAACGCTCCCACACCAGCTGCAAGTTTTGGAAGTATATGCCTCGTTTAGATAATAACACGGGCCCCTAATTCTTCTGCTTTAGCCACCAGGCGTTGGCGAAATTGATAGTGGCCCCAGCAGAACCGTTTTTCGTGTTATTTTTCTTGTTTTCGATTTATCATATTCGACACCTCAAAAGGAGGGATGATAATGGCATCGAATTCGCGAGTGAAAAATGCGACGCTCTTTTTATGAAGAGGTGTTTGACTTTTCGTCGCATCCGAGAGATGCCTTATCAAGTCGCGAGGCCTGTTTCTTCTTACGTTTCGAACTAGAGGCAGCCAGTTTGTCCATTATAGAAAGGAGATTGTCCATATGTTTGCATAGGCGAATAATTCGTCCAATGTCGTATTGGCCAATTTTACCTACGCTTTTAGTGGGAGAGTACCATGTGAAGGGTGTACGAACGCCAGGATCGATGGAAACTGCATGAATATCCGCTTGGGTTTCGCGGAGTTGTTTTTGCGTCTCGTAAACCCATTAAAATTTCCATTCGTTGGTTTTGCGAATATATGTACAGCCGGACTTTATTTTGTGAGGAACAAGCCGCTTCTTTTTTTTCGAAATGAATCGCGTTTTTCGTCCAGAGTGATAATAGGCTTTTGGCGGGGTGCGGAAAGCATCGACGGATTATGGTGATGGGTGACATATTAATATGAATCGGTTCCACGTGGATTTTGCGCGCGAATTATCATTGTCGCAAATCTTTTCGGGATCGAAATGACAAAGACGAACTTTGCTGATTCGTGGGTTGATCCTATATTTTGATTGATCATGTTTCTAGCAGTTAACGCTTCATCAATCGCGCTTTGCCATGTGCGTCTTGAAGGAGCATGCATGACTGTTCACATGAATTTGCGTTCACCCCATACGGCATGATCTTTGGAGTCTCTTGTCCTCATGCTCATTAATGTTTTTTCCTACACGAACATCTGCGTAAAGCTTAAGCTTATCTTCAATGGATTGAGATTTTAGCCAAACCCGTCGTGATTGTATGCGAATTTTTGGTATGGAAATGGCGGTATCGACTCCAGCGGACAACTGCATTATAGGCATACCTTGACAAGCCCATCCACCGTTTTAATAGCTGCTTTTGAGGGTGATTTGGATATACTTTTATTGGCAGCGTATGATGGAGGGCTTCCAAGTGTTGCATGCTGCTGTTATCTTGATCTTGCGCTTTTTCCCTTGTTTAGGGTTCTCGTCGGGCGACTCTTCTTCCTTGCTTGATTTCTAGGATATTTTGGGAAAGTTTGTGCTCGTCGGAGGTCGCTTTGTTGACGAAAACTATGAGTTTTGTAATATGGGGGGAGTGGATGAGGTTGTGGCAGAGTCTGTCACAATGGGTAACCACAATTCCAGAGACCATCCAATATGGTCTTAAGTTCGTAGGTTGGTGAGCTGAGGACCTCCTTTTGTATGAGCCCTTATTTGGGGGTGGTTTTGGCGGTGACGGCGGCGGTGGTGATGTTAGCATTGAGGGGAGAGATTATGTGTTTACGATTTGGATTTTAATGAGCATAATATTGCAATATTGCAATGGTTAAAGAGTTTGGGGGATATCTTTAAATATGTTTATGGTTGTCGGTATTTGAATGGCGGAACCGAAAACACGCATAAAGCATGCAATTTTAGATGGAGCCTACGCCATGCAAACACAGACTATATGATGGATCGCGGTCACAAATCGTTAATTCCGTTGTCTTTTTAAATATTAATATACTAGAGGGTTAAACAAAATTGATATTATATTCATTAATTCCGATTATAACATCGTAATAGTAATAGTAAAATCCATCCTAAATTTTCTATTAATTAAAATTATTACGATAATAAACCAGCCATACTTCGCGTTTTGAAATCACGTGCGTGTGACAATTATCACCTGATCCAGAAATATTTACCTCTGGTATGTACTGTATATGCACGATCGGATTCGGCATTTTAATCACATGACCATACTTATAATAGTGATAGTAATAAATAATAGTTGATTGAAAAACTAGTCGTAGTTTCTATCAGCAAACGAAAGATGACACATTGCTCGGAAAATGAGACTTTAGCGAATAGAACGAATACGCTAGTAATTTCGTTCTTAAGCAACCTAGCTTGCAATGCCCCAAGACCGTCTTCGGAATTAAATGACACTTGGATAAGTTCACTCACTCCGCGTGTCAAATCGTTAATTCTTGACTTCCCGCCATTCGATTCTGCAGATACACGACTAGCTAACGGAATATTGCCAGATACGGTAACCAAAACCATCAAATGTGCGTTAGAACGAGTTATCCTATGTAAAAGTATTTCTAAATTGAACTCGCAATTAATCTAATATACTTTTAGCTCGAAGCCCATATGATACCGTGGATGATACAGATTTCCAGAGGGCAGGTCGGGAAATAAAGGTATTGGCTCACGAAGCATATCGTTGGTTTCAAAATGAAATACAAGAATTGAAAGACTTCGAAAACATATATTGTGAAGAATTGATATGGTGTGGAGAACATAAAATCGTATGTATAGAAAGAGCCTTTTTTTTTTTTTCACTTGAAATATGTAGTTCCTTGCCAATGTCTAATTTATCCACACTTTGTTCTTCTTAAGGCGTTTGCGAAAAGCATCGAGCTCTATTTTGCAGGAGATAATTATACTGCTCTCCTTCTGATAATCTCATCATTGGAGCAGCTGCTAGGCGACGTAAGTATGTTTTACTGGGTCCACATTGGGATAATATATAAGTTACCTGTATTATTAACACGCTTTCTAAGGTCTTGCATTTAGTCAATATGTCGAAATCACGCGAGACGCACATTACACCGCAAGTACCTCCACTCTTCCGCGACTTGTTACTGGAGAAACCTTTGGCTGACATTGTTGGCGAAGACTTTGTATTTCTACTCCGCTGCCTATTCGGTCCACCAAATTCCATGAATATTCGAAACATCATTTGGCACGGTTTTATTTGTGAAGAGGAATTCTCGCCAACACCTGCTATATGGTATTATTCTTTAATTGTTGTCTTAGCAATGAGTGTTTGTGCGAAAGTAAAATCTTCGGAAGTCTCTTGCAAAGTCCTTATTAGAAGACACACAAAAAAAGCTTTTATTGGACTGTATCATCTCCCTCAAAATTTTAATTGGGACGAACAAAACAAGGCGGATTGTGTGCAGGGGACAACAAACTATCTGACCACAAGTGATTTTGAGCAATTAATTCTAAATGAACGCGGTAACTAATTTTTGTTCTATTTGTAATCAAAACGCGTGTCCGTACAGTGACATTTATGTCTGGCTGGTACGTTTATCTGCTTCATTAACAACTTACTTAAACCGCCCATAGTACCACATTCAATTCCCCCTCATACATACCTCCTTTCTATATTAAGTCAAACCTTCTTTGTTATTCCGACTACGATTTCAACTTGGAGACGTGCTTTTGAATATATGTACACGGGTCAGCCTATTCTTTTCTTGATACTTGCTCTTCCTCTCCTCGAGCACTCATTGCGTAGATTGTACATATGTCTGAACCAGGATGTATCCGATCACAGACTTTGCACGGGAAACGTTGGAGAATACTTCTTAACAATGGACGTTATACTAAAAAAATGCGTTAGCATGCAATTCATTATTGCGAATGCTCGGGCCCAGAAGGAACTTGCTGAAGAACTGAAAAACGTTATTTTCGATCAGTTAAAAGGCGATGTCATGGTAAGGATACCGACAATTAGCTAAGATGCGTCTGTTGACTGAATTCTTTGAGGAATTTATATGAACGTTTTTGCAATAGGACCTACTGGAAGACCTTTTCGTCCATGTTTCCGGGCCGCGCCTTCGGGATCGGATCGCACATGGGGATTACGATTTTACACTACTTTGTAGAACGTCATCAGCGCATAACGACCCAGTTTTCGCACATGTTGTACATCTCATCCGACATCTTTTCGAAAGATATCTCGCTGGAACTCACGTAACAAGCCCGAAGAAATTCGTCCTAACCTATAAATCAAGATTTCATCCTATGTCATTGTTACAAAGAGAGTGTTTTTACGTTGTCGTATGTATATGGCAGGTTTGGAAAGTTGCTGGGAATGATACACGGTTCGAACTAAGTATATGGGACAACAGCAGTGATAATTCAATTGTTGACTTTGTGAAGCAGTGTGGGAAGCCAATAGTGTTTTCTGCGTCATTTGTCAAATCTCTGTGTGAAGAATGCTCAAATGCCGAGGATTTAATAAAAAATTTGAATAGATTTGTGTCAAAGGACATAAAAAATCATTTTTCAGACCACTGGTGCAACACACAGCTTGGAAAGGAGGATGAGAAACGAATTGTTTTCCGACGAGGAGCTCTCAGAAGAGCCGCCAATGGACTTCAGAAGGTAAAGACATTAGTGCTAACTTTATTTCCGTTATGATGTTAAGAGATTATATATTTTTTTACGGCGATTATAGGTGTATGAGAGACTCACCTCCATTGGTTCGTCTCCTTCTTCGCGTAAACGGAAGAATCTTCAGGCTTTTTTCGTTTTACTTCCAATTCTCCTGACCCAATTATGTGACGCTTTATCCGTTCTGATGGCTACAGAAGATCAGAAAATTCTGTTGGAATCGTTGATTTTCGTTGAACGTTGGTGTTCTTTATGCATTAAAGGAAGCTGGGAGAAATTTGTTGAAACTTACAATAAATTCAGCGAGGAAATATCACAAGTAATTCGAAAAAGGAAAGTATGATGTGGTGGCACCTTTGACTAGTGAAGAGGAGGAATTAGAAAATGTGGCTAGTTTTGAAGTATTAATAAAAGTCAGTACCGAAAATGGTTTGGATAAAAAAAGCAAAATACTCATGCATCGCTTAGTATCCCCACACATTGGTTCTCTCTCTTGGAATGAAATACGACACCCACATAGACCTGCACTCATCCTTTGGAAATTTTCTCATCACTCTCTCCCTATTGGTATTTCAGTCTCTAAAATCTCTCCCTTTGGTATATCATGTCCTTGGTGTCCCACAACCCTAATTCCATATCTCATCTCTTTCTCATGCATCTCTAATCTGGGACAAAATTTCTCTCCTTTGCTCTTTCATTTCTTCTTATCATCCATCTCCCATTAATTTTATCTCCTCCTCTCAGCCTCACTTTAAAAAACTCGGTCGACTTCTTCAATCAGTAGCTATATTCTCTATATTAATATAACCCTCCCTCATTTATCGCACGCCTGTCTTTAGATAGAGTTAATATTAAAATGAGCTTCAACATATATATGTAGTTCAGTAATAAAGTTGTACTTATTATTATAGATTATCGAGATGAGAAGGTTTATGTTCTTTAATGAAGGTGTACATATGGTCTTTCTAATTAAAAGCTATATTTGCTGAAATAAGAGATGTCTGGAAGAATAAGGTTTATGTATTACTAATTCGAACAGTGGGACTAAAATTATAAATGGATAATAAAGCATAAAACATCAAGCATCTATTGAATAGGTTTGCAAACTGTCCATATATCTTGCAAAATCCCATTAATTAGTGTAATTGAACTGAGCATTCCATCATAGTGGACAAATTTCAAATACGAGTGGAGAACGGGCCTTCGATAATTATTATGTCGACATTGATAGATGGATATGTTTGTTTGGGTTCATAAAAAGTCCTTATTTTCTATGCAAGCACTTATACATACTTATGTTGCCAACCATGAAGGCTTCTTTCCTCAGTACATGAGCACGACTCGTCGGCACGGTCATCCGTTTATCTATTTCGGAGCAGAAGATCCTTCAATATCAAGAATTAACCAAATTAACAGCACGAAATACAAATAAATTCGTTAAACGAACCAGATGCCGTTCTTGAAATATCTGAAAGAGCACCCGTGCTAGAATTGACATCATCGAAAGGAGTTAGCATTAGATAAGACAATGTACGAATTTTTAACCTCAATAGTCGAGCAAAATATTGAGAATGATAATTTTACAATGAATATAAGACTCAGACAATGTCTGATAGACGAGGCTTCAGCCAACTCGTGTGAAAATGTCATACAACAAAAAATTCTGACCAATAATTTATTGAGGCTTGTGTGGCTTTTAGATCACGGGGTTGTCCTTTTTTTTTCGCGACAGACACCATGTTTACGCGACCAAACCTATACTTACAAACTCTAGCTGAATCGAAACCAAAAAAAATGGAACCTTATACTGGGAATGAAAGTAAGCTCTCAAACTTGCAGATTTGCTTTTCGACAGTGGACTGATTCTCCTTATTATTATTGGTTTTCCAGTTGTTTTAAAATATTTCGAAACTTACGATGAAGAAACATGGACTTACGAACATTTTTTAAATGAATTAAAAGAAGCAATTGTAATTTCGCCATCATATACTAACGACTGGAGCGGTTTAGATGGTGCATGGTATGGTTGATATATTTATCATGTCAATAAGGTTGGTTTTGTGCTATACAATATTTGCTAAACTTCCAAAAAGCTTTATTATTATCAGTATCAAGGGTGGCTTCTGGGTTGTAGTTATACTTTTTGGTGTAGTGCGATTCAGAGGTTTTGCCGTAGTTTTCGGTACCCAAGTGATGAGTATGGAGCGCTTCTGGGTTGTAGTTATATTTATAATATAGCTCGATATGAGGTTCTGGGTCATAGTTACATTTGATGTAGTGCGGTCTGGAGGTTGTGTTGTGTATATTTGATATAGTGCGATCCAGAGGTTTTGCCGTAGTTTTCGGTGCTTTCTCGTTGCGATTCATTCAAAAAGCTTTATTATTATCAGTGTCAAGGGTGGCTTCTGGGTTGTAGTTATACTTTTTGGTGTAGTGCGATTCAGAGGTTTTGCCGTAGTTTTCGGTACCCAAGTGATGAGTATGGAGCGCTTCTGGGTTGTAGTTATATTTATAATATAGCTCGATATGAGGTTCTGGGTCATAGTTACATTTGATGTAGTGCGGTCTGGAGGTTGTGTTGTGTATATTTGATATAGTGCGATCCAGAGGTTTTGCCGTAGTTTTCGGTGCTCTCTCATTGCGATTCATTAATAGGATGAAATAAATGAACCTCGAATGAAATCATTTTTCCAAGACATTATTCTTGAACGTGAAAAGGTTAGCCCTGTTTGCATTAATATTCTTACAAGAATTATATCAAAAAAAGAATAATTTTTATTGACTATGTCCTTATCCTGTCCAAAACAGAGAAATGCCGGAAAAAATTACGTAATAGAAGGCGTAAGAGTTCTCAATGAAGCAAGGTTTCGCAGTTCAGATGAAGTAATTTCCGCTGTTAATAAACAATATCCTGAGGATTAAGCCAGCGGAAACGAAGATGCTTCACACAAACAGACAGAAAACGGGCCATCACAAACTCCAGAAGACAAGGTAGTTGTATCCTCCCGTTGTTTTAATATATATCCCGCAACAAAATGTCTTCTCATCTTTCACATTTATGCACAGGTTGCAGAGGTTACAGATGATGAAGAATGGGAGTTTGACACACCACAGCCAAGTTGGCTAAAAAAAGTGATAGAGGAACATTGTCTGTCGAAAAATCCGCAACAGACGCAATAATAGCAAAAACGTTTCGAAAAATCCGCAACAGCACAAAATACTATAATTGGAATTAGCTAAAAGAGCGCTACGTTTTTTTTCGCAACACTCAAAGATATATAAGTAGCTCATATTCCATCACCAAATCTTCATGTTGCAAATATTGTTCATGTTGTGAAATAAATAAAATATTATTGATCTTAGTAATATTCTTTTATTATAAATATCCAATTAAATTTCTATCGTCAAAATAATTGATTATTCGACCGGACATTCCACTAAACGGCTCACTTAAGCTGTAACGAAAATAGCATTGATTTAATCAAGCTAGTAAGGTTCGCTGATCAATTACGTGAATAACGGAACGAGAGTTCATAATTAATTATCGAGACGATTATTGTTTAATTAGTTTAGAAAGACAAGTGACGGATACCCGACGTCGGAAAAACAAATCGAAGATAGCCCTGTTTAAATTTAAAAATAGTATTATTCCCCTTCGATTCTTTAGTAGAGTTATTATTTTATTAGAGGTACCCTTGTTTGTATTCACGAGTGTTTGAAACTCGGATAGGGAGTGAGAAGCGCGCATAATCACTTGAGGCTTAATTCAGTCTTAATTGCACAACTATCGTAGTAAGGGCGATAGTACGAGCTAAGCCTGGTAACATCCCCCGGTCGGCGAACACACCTACACGAAAGATAAATCGCTCTCCCAAAAACCCCATGTCTGTCAACTGAGAAAAGTGCATCCATTGTAGGTAATCATGTGGTTGCAACATATTATGCCATGATGTTTATGAATGAGTCTAGAGATTTGTTGCCAGTGGACCAACTGGGAGTTCTTGGATTTTTGCAGAAAACACAGAAATCCTTTATAGTAGAATATAAACCACCAATACACAACAGACACAGTTTTATTCTATGTTTGCTTTGTATTATAGCATATTTTGCCATTGCGGGTGATATGTGAAACCGAATGCAACCCAAACGTTTGGATCAAGCATATCTGGATAGTCTTTACATAACTGTACAAATGAAATAACATTAATTAATAGCCAACAATTATGATAGCTGCATGTTCGATTGAATAAATGACTGACCTTGTCATAAAATGAATCATCTTCTAGATCTGAAGTCTCAAGCGGAATCAGGTCCATGTAAGAACCTAAAGATAAACTCTTAAAACGCGCATAAGGATATTTCCGGGAATCATTTACAAAATATATAAATTTATCTGGCGACATTTGATCAAGCCAAGTGAATGGTTTATATTGCAAGTAAGCATCATTCGCGGTCTTTGTTGACATTTGTGATTTCTTAATAAATTCATCAAGTTTTTTACAGTTACTAGTCCATCCACATGCTAATTCTTTATGACCACAAATGCACCACACTGGACTGCATCTCAGTCTTCCGCATACGGAGCAAATCCATACCAAGAAAAAAGCAGATAAAAGTCTTTGTCATTTACCATGTAGCAATTATCTTCGTTCATGGTAAACCCCCGTATCATAGCAATATTGCGTACCGCAAGCATAAGGCCATATCTTTGAAATTAATTAACATTGTGATTGGTCATTATACCTGCCAGGTCGTGCAGGCTCAAATATTATCCTTTCATTGGACACTCAGATCCATAAATAGAAATATTATGGACTGTACGACGTGTCGGGTTGTGCGACATTGCAGGTAAATTCCTGATAATTTAGCTGTCTAAAAACAGCTTTAGCAGTTATCTGTAGCTGTCAATAAAGATCTTACATTAAAAAAAAAATAAAAAATTCCTGATAATATAATATTGACTCTGACAAAATTATAAGTAACATATGAAACCCCTTTATTCTCGAAAATCTCTATTGTCCATACGTACTATGTAACCCACATACCACAATAATTTTAGTACCGTTTTGAAGCTAATGACTGTGTTTTTTGAAAATAATGGTGTGGAATTTAAATCAGTTACTGTAATGAAGAAGTAAGTGACGGTACATATGATTTTCATACATTTTCATATGTGTAACATAAATTCCGCGAACTTTGAGACTGGATACACAGTGAACCTGGATATAACGTAACGAATCAGTCGGGTTTTTTCAAGTTCTGCGTAATAACTTCCAATATAAGTGTCTGTTTAAGAAGTGTGAAAGACAAATGCTGAATAAATTGAATCATAAGTTAAACTTTCAATCATGCTTTTTGAATTTTATTGTACTTCCCTTCCCGATTCTTCTCATAAATCAGACAATTGTCATATCGCTGTTGGTCGCCTCCATATCGCCTCCAACCATTTTTGATCATGAGTTGTAAATCATCTCAGTTTAGCAATCATAACTCGGGTAGTCTTTCGGAAAAGACGCATTGATGAATTAAACATTTTAAATCAGTATGTGGTACAAAAATACTCTTGAAGTCACAAATTATATCGATCTGTTAATTAAGCGCATACTTGACATATAACAGAGACCCAATACATCGGAAATAGATAAAAGCTGCGTTTGTCTAAAAGGCATCTATTCGTTCCGAATAAATTAATAACATTAGTCATGACAAATTTGCAAGACAAAGTTAAGGTCGAAAATAAACCCATTATAATTACAAGTTCACGAAGTATCTTTAATATACAGTACGTGGTAAAGTACTTCATCTTAAACTTATCTTGTATATTCATGTCTTTCATTTTTGCTGGTCTTAAAACGTTCCCAAGATAAAGCGCTTACGCACGCATTTTACATCTTTGTCATACATTTTGACGTTCCACTAACTCACAATTTTCTGACTTTGCTATAAAAAAATTACAAAGGCTATATTGTTATTATTGTTAACCTGATAATAATATTGGGCGGGGCCATCCAAACTCACGAGAGAGTAAATAACGGATGGCAAATACCGTATAAAAATTTAGGGAAAAATTAGACAAAAAAATCATTACAATTTAAAAGAGAATTATACTACAATCATTTATTATTGTGTACATTTAATTGGCATTTGTAATGTTGACTAATTTAAAGATCGAAGACAAAGGAACAACCGACGATACAGAATACAGCGATCAGTAACGACTTGAGGTAGAAATGAAATACTTATATTTAATAAATAAAGTAAATTGAGGACAATGTTTATCTGTTAAAGGAGAAAGGGGGGGCACGGGAAAAGCTTATCAAGAGCAAAGGAAAAGACAGAAAAAAAAGAACTAGTCGCCAGAGTGAAGAAATATTCGCAGGTGGAGAATTACAAGGTGCTAATTACTTTCAAAGAATACACTCTACTCAATAAGGACAATGCGACTGTGTGAATTTCTAATCAAAGATTACCACAAAGCTGTCAAAAAGAGGAGTTTAAGGGGAACGTTGGAATAGCTTATCGGATAAAAAAGCAAGCCGAATTTATTAAGTTTTGGGCGAGGGAAGCAGCAATATCAGTGTTGGCAGTGTGAAGAAAAGAGACCGCAGGAGCAGGAAAACAGCGAGGTAAAGGAGTTCGAATTGTGGAAACCGAGTGAAAGAGATGAGTGAGAAAAATGGAGTGTGTAAGGATTGCGTGGAGAGGTTTGGAGGGATTCTCTTTTCTGGGTATCGTATAGTAGTTCCTTGCGATAGTTATTTCTACTCCCGCCTTCTCCATCTTTTCTTCTTTCTTCCAATATTTCACATGACAAACAAAATGTTGATTGTAATTGTAGATGGATTTTTTTTTTTCGCTACTCAAAGGATTAATTAAGTTCAGCAGGGGGATAAGAACCCCTTTTCTTAGGAGTATTGGACAAGCTATATAAATTATCTTGGCGTTTACAATTAGTTGCCAGGAATGTTGGGGGGGGTTTTTGCCCATGGTCAAAAGGGGTTTCTCACGCCCTCCAGGTTTTGGAATCTATGATACTAATATTAGTTTATCCTCCGATTTCTGTGACAGTAACATCAAAGAGTAGAAGAAAACCGGGTTTCTATAAGTTTTGACAAGAGAGTGATTCAATATTAAGTCTTGCGCTTGTTGGTCATATTGCTTGTTATCGATATCATTACTAGATCAGTTTAATTGCGTGGCTTATCGAACTTTTTAACCAGTGAAAATTATTTTACTGCGTGTGCTACGGAATGTTACGCTGATTCTATTGTCCTTATTTACGGAAACAATCGTGCCAGTCTCAATATGTGTTACGCTAGACAATATATCAATATTCGTTTATGCTTTACTATTGGTCGACAGTCAGACTCTCACGCTCCTTATTGCATAGATAACGACATTTATACTTATAAGGTTATATCAAGTAGTACCAGTATGTGTCATCTTCCCATCTAACACGCGAACACGCGTCTACTCATACATATATATGTTGTATATAATTTGCGTCACTATATAATTCCCGGAATTATATATATAATTGGTGGTACGCAATTTATATATATAATTGGTGGCAGATCACCCCAAAACCTGATTTACATATATAATTTGTGACTGATGACCCCCAAATATATCGTTGATACGATGATTGTTAAAATGTAAGTCAAAAGTATTCCTAAGCGCTCATTAAAGTTTGTTCAAAAGTTATTTTTCCAACCCTTTATTATTCATTCTTTGTTTTCTTTAGTATCCTTACTAGATTATAGCAACCGATTGTTGTTAATAAAGACTATTACCGACTATATAAAAGACAACAACGATAATAATACATTACTGATAAATCTAAATCTGCTTCATCTTCTTAGTAGAGTATAAGTAATTTATTGTTTAAATGCTTTAAAGAAAGACTAATGTCATGATCAAATAGATCGTAAGATGATGACACAGTAATAGGGTGATATAGCCAAAATCTACTTGTCATGATTGAAAATCGTACGATGATACGGTTATCTACCTTCGCTGTTTGATAATTCCTGTATTGAGGAATAATTCGTATGATATAATACATTGTCCTTCTGGAATCC